ATGAGTATGGTCTTTTTTTTTTTTTTGGTTTCCGGCGTCAATAGTTTTGGAGTGAAGAGGGCAACAAATAAATACAAAGGTGGTCAATGAAGATGCAGGTCCGAAGGGGGGGGGGGGGGGTCGAGGTTGATTACGCGCCAGATGGGTTCTTTCTTCTTTTTCTTCTCCTAATACTTCTTACATGGGCTAGTTTTAGGCAATCATTTCCAAGCATGTCGTCTACAAATCACGAATGCAACATGTGTGACCAAGTCCAACATCACAGGCCAATGCTAACCAAGTGTCACCGCCAAGCCAATACCACAAGAGCAAATCAACAAATGCATCTTCTTGAGCCTAGAACTAGATCTTCTCCATACAGTCATGGTCTATAACGAGAAACACCCGAGGCCTGTTCAAACTCTACCTGTCGCTAGTGTACATGTACGACGTCTCCGTTCCCCTGATACCTATTCTGACACGATAACCCTGTCTGCCGATACGCATTATTCTCATTCCAATCCCAGTATGCAGGCGGAATAAAGGGTATGGACCAAGCGCCTCCAAAATGCTCTATTGTCACATTACGTCCTGGGTCGCAGACTTTTGGCGGTGGTTGACTTGTCAAGCTTGTGACCCCATCACTTTCGTCAATATTTAACAGCTGACGTCGGTGTTGGCCTTGGAGTTCATGAGCAGTGCGACAATGAGACCGTATAGACCTGTTGCCTTGTTAGAATCGTTTCAGGACAATTCAGACGTGGCGACTTACCGAGGACTTCAGCGAAAATCAGGATGAGAATCATGCCAACAAAGAGACGGGGCTGTTGCGCGGTACCACGGACACCAGCATCACCGACGATACCAATGGCAAAGCCCGCAGCAAGACCAGCAAGACCGACGGATAGACCAGCACCAAGCTGGATGAAACCAGTGTAGAGAGGAAGCTTCTGCGTCAGGCCATCGGAAATGAGAACGGACACGACGAGACCGTAGATACCAATGATACCAGCCATAATAACGGGAACAATGTCTAGATCTCGTGTTAGCTTTCGCTACGGTAATTGATGCAGATCGAATCGGAAAAGTGCGCACTCTTGACGATGAGGTCAGGGCGGAGGACACCCATGGCGGCGATACCGACACCAGACTTGGCGGTACCGTAGGAGGCGCCTAGGCAGGTAAAGACAATGGCACAGGTGCAACCCATGGCGCCAAAGAAGGGCTAGGATATTTGTTAGCACAATTATCGGATGCATCGCCCGCTGGCGATGAAGGTTGGGCGGTCGGCTAATAGCAATGGGTGGGAAGTCGCTCGAAACCGGAACCGGGAAGTGAAAGTACGAACCGCATAGACGGGGCTGCAGGTTACCAGTTAGCTTTGCATGCTTGAAGGATGATACATGAGGAGAATGCGGCCAGTTTCGCAGCGTTGCGGCGATGGCAAAAGCTGGAAATGATGCTCAGAGAGCTCTCAAGGCGCATCATCCCCCCTCAGGAGCGGCAAAACGGTGACGTACCAAAGCTCAGTAGACATGGCGGCGGCTGTTCTGACTATGAGAGAAAAGGAGAGTTATGTCAAGATCGGATTTTGAAGCTTGGGTCGGTCGTTCTCGAGATGGTCCAGCAGCGAGGATCGTGGGCGATGAGCTGTCGATGCCGCGATTAATGGGGTGTGTGTGATGGTTGGATTCAGGTGACGCTCCCCCCAGCGACCGAAGCAGCTGGCCGCAGGTTTTTGCGGTACTGTGGCAGGAGGAACCTTGTCTTACATAACAATCCGCCCCGCAACATCGATAACCCGACGCCGGCCTGGCGGCCGCCAATTGGCTGGAGTCGCTGACCCAAGACACTGCATCGTCTGAGCGTATACATCGAAAGACCACTCGTAATTGTAGCTCAGTTGCTGGTTTGATAATATATACAATTTGTTGGCAGCTTTGGGCGAGTGCATACATCATCTGCATAGATACTCATTGTGGTCTTGCGGTGTGGCGGCTTGCAGCGCAAAGCGACTATTAATGTACTTTTCATAGTGCAAAACAGCTCACAGCTTTATGAATAATTCATTTGCGAATACCTAAACAATACTTTTATCCTCAGCTACCCGACACGTCATCATCTACACTTTAACGCCGCTGCATCACACTAAGCCCCATAGTTGAGCCGTCGCCACGCTCTTATCCTCGAATCTTGAGGGATCAAAATAATACTTTGGCCAGCCACTGCACCTGCACGATGCAACAGAGGCCATCCCCAGCTTCTCGGCAAGGTCCAACCTGCAGGTTACATCCTGCCTACTAACATGGTGCTAGCCATGACGTCGTCTCCACACTCCAGAACGCAAGTCGCGTCGGACGCCGAGGCCAATTACCCCCACCATATGTCATGGACATTTTAGTACAACGACAGCACCTCTGCTGCTCATTCATTCATAAACACGTACTACTGGAGCCCGGCTTCTTCTCCTACAAGCCTGGTTCCCTGTCCCGACTGTTGCGGCTCCGAGCATCCTTATAATGCCTGGTCTCGCGCGCAAGGTCCTCATATGCGCTGCCGTAGATGGCCTGATCATCCAACCGCTATCCTCCAAGGGCCAACGCCCTTTCAGGCCTGTACAAATAAAATATGCAGATGCATCCATATCTTCTGTGTCTAGAGAGCATGTGCCAGATATATCAGCTTCAGACTCATTCTTTGAGGCATTTGGTGTGATAGGTGAGCGCCAAAGCATGCGCAAGTGAAGATATGGCCCTGACGTTTTAGGTCTGATTACGGTGTCGAACCTTAGCTACCTTGTCACAATCACCAAGAGAAAACAAGTCGCGCACGTTTTTGGCTCCCCTATTTATGTCGTGACTGGTGTCGCAGTCACTCCTTGCACCTCGCAACCCGACGCTGCCGCTTCCATCCGCCGCACAGTCAGATGGTTAGATGACCGACCCTCTACTGCAGATCGAAATGCGGATAGTAGTGACGAGGATGTGGAGCTTCCATCAGCCTCGGCAGATGATATTGACGATAGCACAAGTGATGGAGGTGACAACGACGTGACGTCCTCTCGAAGCAGTATCGCTGAAGATGTCATCCGTCGAAAGGGCGGCTATGGCAGATTCGCGCAACGCTGGTTCAGCGCTCGGGGCTGGACCATGGAACAAAGACGAACACTGGGCCTCAGCGATGCTTCGAATAACTCCAAATTACCAGAAACGGAAGGCGGCCCTCGAAAGCTACCAGGAGATCAGGATGATGCTCCACGACCCGCAACCGCTTTACTGCCAAAGCTTCTGCGAGCCATGTACCTCCTTTTTGGCAAATCGCGAAGCTTTTACTTTGCTTACGATATTGACATAACACGTCGACTCTCCAACAAACCACCAGCCTCACGAGCCGATGTCGCGCTGTACACTCAAGCAGATGAACTATTCTTTTGGAACAAGCATATGATGAATCCATTTATTGAGGCCGGCCAAGATGACCTTGTTCTCCCATTAATGCAAGGCTTCGTCGGGCAGAAGACATTTATTGCCGATCGCAGCCCGCCTCAAGTCGATGAGCCCACCATGGAGTCTGTTGAGCTGAGCACTCTGACATCAAAGGAGCCGCCAGCTGCTGAGATGGCTCCTGCCAGTGCACGAAATTCCCTCGAGTTGCGGCCTTCGGAGAGCAAATACCTATTAACACTCATATCGCGGCGATCGACGAAACGCGCCGGTTTGCGTTACCTGCGCCGTGGCATTGACGAGAATGGTTTCACGGCCAACATGGTCGAGACGGAGCAGATCCTGTCTCGCCCCAGCTGGGATTCCTCATTTCCAATATACTCATTCCTGCAAATTCGAGGCAGTATCCCGTTGTTTTGGACCCAAACTGCCTATGCGCTGAAACCGGTGCCCGTTCTGCAACACTCTCCAGATGAAAACTTCAAGGCGCTGAAGACGCACTTTGAGAGCCTCGCAAGAAATTATGGACTAATTCAGATCGTGAATCTAGTTGAGAAGCAGGGAGTCGAGAAGTCGATCGGGAGCGCGTTCGAGAAGAATGTGGAGCGCTTGAACGAGCAAGGTAGCTGCGGTCTTGTGCCATTCGAGTGGTTTGACTTTCATCATGCATGCCGCGGTATGAAATTTGAGAATGTGAGCGATCTACTCCTGCTACTCAAGGACAAGCTAGAGAAGATGGGTAGCAGTGTACAACAAAGCGGCAATGTCATAGCTTCTCAAAGTGGTGTATTCCGCACCAACTGCATGGACTGCTTGGATCGAACCAATGTCTGCCAGAGCTCTTTCGCCAAGCACATGCTCGAAGTTCAGCTGAAAGCTGAAGGGATAGACATGGGTGCGCAGCTTGACCAGGAGACAATGTGGTTCAACACTCTCTGGGCAGACAATGGCGATGCAGTTTCCAAACAGTACGCCTCGACTGCCGCTATGAAGGGTGATTATACTCGGACCCGAAAGCGCAACTACATGGGTGCTTTAAATGACGCCGGCCTTTCACTTGCACGCTTCTACTCCGGGTACGTTGCATGACGCGCTGCGAAACAATACACTAACAAACGATAGAATGGTAAATGACTACTTTAGCCAAGCTGCCATTGACTTCCTCTTGGGGAATGTCACCAGCAAAGTGTTTGACGAATTCGAAGCCGACATGATGACCAAGGACCCTGCAGTCTCTATCACACGGATGCGAGGTCGCGCAATTGATCTCTGCCAGAAGCGAGTTATTGCAGATGCGGAAGAGGAGGTTCATGGGGGTTGGGTTCTCATTAGCCCCAGCGCCGCAGATATGGTCAAATCATTTCCGATGGAAGAAGTGGTGCTGCTGTTGACGGACGCCGCCCTCTATTTGTGCCGATTCGACTGGGATCTCGACAAAGTATCGTCATTTGAGCGAATCAACTTGGCAAATGTGACCAGCATCAAGTTTGGCACCTATGTTTCTTCGACAGTATCAGCGGCCCAGATGGATGAGATGCGCAACGTTGGTTTTCTGCTATCTTACCAGCCAGGCAAGAGCGACATTAGGCGAACCAACACTCGAACCATGTCATCACAGCAAGAGTCGGCAGACGTTGCGGAGGGCACCACGCAACAACAGTCTGGGCTGGCTGGCTTCTTCTCGCCACGTCCAAAAGGGCACACGGTGAGACAGTTTGCATTCAAGGCTACCTACACAGACTCTTCCACAGCGGTAACACGGCCCGGCCCGAAGCAGACAGAAATCCAGCAGGTTGTGACAATTTGCTCAGAGATTGAAAGGCTAGTTTTACTTGGGCAGCTCCGGAAAGATGGAGAAGAGCCAAAGAGCATCATAGAAAAGGGAGACATTATCTCTCTCGACTCCGCCAAGCGAGATACTGGGTTGCTTGAGCAACTTGGGCATACTATTAAAAAATTGGTATGGGCATAGCTAGGCTCAGGGTCCTGCAGATGGTCAAGGCCAAATAGTATTAAAGAAGCAATCTTATTATGGTATTGTCATGCACAGTCATATTTTATGTGGGCGACTTCCTGTCTATCCTATACAAGTGCAACTGATATCGCATATTTTCCAACTGAATTGGGTACGTCAACTGATCCGAGAGGCGGAACCATAGCGAGTCGTGCGACTCCAGCCTCGTCCACTCCCGTTCCCTCGCGCCCGCCCGCCCCGTCAGCGTATGGTGCAGTAGCCACTGCATCGGGTACTTTTTCCTATCCTTTCCCACCGCGGCCTCGGAGTAGCTCCCGGGGCTGTCGACGACCAGCAGCAGCGCGCCGTCCGGCAGCGCCGCCTCGAGCGCTCCGAGAAACCGCGTCGTCTTGCCTACGCCGCCGCTCGTGTACAGCTCATTCAGGGTGAACAGCAGCGTGACGACGACGACGGCGGCGGCGGCGGCGTCCTCGTCGTCGTTGGCGGTCATGACGTCGGCCCATTGCGTCTCCGTCAGCTCCAGCGCGTCCTGCTGTAGCACGCGCAGCCGTAGATGCGCTGGCGTGGACAGCAGCGGCGGCGCGTTGGCGGCAGCGGCGGATGCGTGCTTGGAAAGCGGAAGAGGTGTCGTTAGCGTGGCCTGCATCGTGGAGGCAACGCCGGCCCATGGCGCAGAGTCGAGGAGCGTGAGCGAGCCGCGCGCTGGGTGTTGCTGCTGCTGCTGCTGCTGATGATGATGATGATGCGCGAGGTAGCTGGCAAAGGCGACGTGCTCGGCGGCGCATCCGCCCACGCAGATCATCTTGGTGGTGGTGGCGGCTGATGATTGGGACAATGACGACGATGAGGTGCTGCTGCTGCTGTCAAGATGAGGCGCGAGGTGGTGCTGGAAAACGGCCGCGTAGCAGAGCGCCCGCGTCGGGCTCCAGCGCGCGGCGTAGGCGGCGAGATGGTCCTCGCGGCCAAAGGCGGCGGCAAAGTCGCGCCGGTAGAGCGCCTGCTTGATGGCCTGCAGCCGCTGCGGGAGGTTGGCGTCGCTGAGCGCAGAGGCAAAGGCGGCGGCAAAGTGGTTGAGAAGACGCTGCTGCTGGGGTATGCTGAGCGACGGCAGAGGCGAAGGCGGCGCATCGTCGGCGTTCCTTGACGTTGTTGTCGTGGCGGCGAGTGGTGATGGTGATGTCGTCGGCCCACCACCACCACTGGGTTTCTTCTTCATAGTAGTCTGTTTCCGGACCATGGCCTGTCTCTTTTTTTTTTCTTGTATTTCGTAATGCAGTCAAAAGACGTAGACCCTGAAACGCTCGTACAACGATTCACAGGGACTGATTACACCGAGTTGGTTGTAGTCGCAATTTCTGCTTTTTGGCAGGGTTTTCCTCCGAGTTGCCCGCTCTGGCAACCTCGTACAGGCAGTAGGTAGTATAAAGCCACGGTGAGAGGCTCGGTGCCTATTCCCTTATAGCAGACTGGCGGACCTGGGAGTGTCGCTCTGATTCACCGCAATCATGTAGGTATGTACCGGTGCTGCTGCTGCTGCTGCTGTTGTTTCTGTCTTGTCCGTCCAGCGCCCCCCGGTATAAGCTTCTTGTGGTGGGTGGGTGGGACGCTACTCGACCAGTATTCCAACTGCCACCAAAAACTCAACATTTTCATCTCAAGAATTGGCAAATGAAATATTTTCGGTTTCGTATTAATACGATGTGATTTCCTTGTCGAAAGATCGTTTTACTTACCCGTTGGGCTTTGGTGTACCATGGGCAGCCTTGGCGATACCGTATATGGCGGGATCCATCGCAGATCGTGTGTCTTTTAAACTTCAACATCGCCATGCAGCCTCTCGATTAAAATAAAAAGATGGTCTAATTTATGCCTTTAGGAAGTATTTGTACATGTGCGCCATCAACGCTCTTCGCATGGGAATATATTCCTCGAAGACTAATGCCCATCAGGATGCCCACATCTGTCATGATTGTAGTTGAAATCTATATAAATAGTATCATAATTTGATTGTCTCGTTCTATATAAAGGCGAGATACCAGTCTAAATGTACCGGAAAGTTATGCCGTGCGGCGCGGATTGTTGATCTGACTCGAATCATGCCGTGTCACGGACGAGAAGAAGCAGTAAAACGGTAAAAGCAGCTCAGCACCCTTGTGTATCAGTTCTTCCGTCGCTCAATTCGTCATACAGTTATTGCTGTGAAACCTCGGCACTCTTCCCGTTTTTTTGCCCGCATTCTCCTCTGTCCCTTCCCTCGTGCTAGCCATTGTCTGGCCCATTCTCAGCAAGCCACATGAAACTCTGCATCACCGTCCAGTGTCGCTCCTGTTTTTCTTTCACTTTAGCTTTCGCACAATAGGCTATGAACACTTTATGTAGGGACCTTTGGCCACCTTTGGCCACCTTCGGCCACCTTCGGCCACCTACGGTTACCTTATAGTTGTCGCGTTGCGCAGGCGGCGGTTCGATTACGCGCGTCTGGTACCGGCAAAGCTCATAGTCTAGTCGCAGTTACCCTTGTAATGTTTCTTCCATGTGTCAATATTGTGTGTCTACATGATTTTTTTCAATGACTCACTACGTACACAACTTGTACAGCGATGGACACATCAACCTACGCTGAGTGCCAGGAAGGCGCATCCTTTGCTTGCCTACTTGCGCCTTCTCGTTGTTACCACACATCTCAATATAAAACAACATGACGCATGCAAAGAACCGTGAATCTCTCATCCTGCCCCCGGTACAGTTTACTGTCTGCATATCCAACACTCTCACCTCGTCCATGGATCAGCGTGACCTCAACATTCTCACTTACGGCAATTCATGGTCCGATGCGGATCGCCGAGATTTTACGAGATATGTCCTCAACGAACTGAAGCCGGCCAGGTTGACAATGACTTGGTCCAGTCGCCGAAGTTTCTCTCTATTATGTAAAGAAAAGGTCTTTCAGTTTCGCCGACACACTCTGAGGCTCGACATGGATATGATTTGCGCTGCGCGAGCCATTTATGGGCCGCATATGCGAGGCGATATACAGGAGGCTGCATACGGTACTCTTTGGGTATATGTATCGAAACATATTATCGGCCGTATGCCTAGGCCCGACCAAGGCGTCCTTGAGACAATCGGCCATCTGACACGGTTTGTGACTTTCCCTGCAACGCGTCGCGCAGCGAAATGAGGACAAATCGGTGCTGACACCTTTACAACCAAAGATTTTTTGCTCGCCCTTTCAGCAGTCAACAGGCAAGTCTGACAGAGCAACAAAAAAAGGGGCTAATTCAGAGGTATGAATCTACTTTAGATCAACTCTTAACGATGCTCCCATCCCGTTTTCAGTCCCGGCTTGAACATGTAAAAGAGAATCTCGCAAGGCTCTTTGAGGACGACTGGCCGCTAGTTCTGAGTAACTCAGGGCTCTACCCAAGCAACATCTTTCTCCAAGGCCGGCGCGAGTTTATCTGCACCAACTGGAGCCAAGTCGAAGTTTGCCCTTTTGGCGTGTCCGCGGCATCCATCGATCGATTCCTCGGTCGGTATGACGAGAGCGGAGTATGGAGGCTTGTGAAAGACTATGCGATCTGGAAGAGGACATTTTTCCAAAAGTTGGAGGAAAATATGCCCTGGAGGTGGGACGAACGAATACACATGGCACTGCTGCTGGGTCAGTTTCTGGACCGGAAGCATGCTTTCGGAGAGGTATTCTACGGCGGCGACACGGAGTACGGAGATATTGAGCATCGATGCACTTTTCTCGATCGAGTGATGCTAGGTTTCGATATGGAGGAGGAGGACCTTTCAGGGGGGGAATGGGATAGCGCGCTGTATAGCAGAATTTTTTGACGTTGGCGGCAATATTTTGATTGTGCAACCCTTGATACTTGCAATGGAATGAAAGCGTTAATCTGGTAGCGAAGAATCTTTTCCAAATGCTCCTTGAGCGCGGTCAGCTCCATTGTCCAGTGTGTCGCAAGGTGGTGACACACCGCATGATGAACCTTGTGTGTCTGGAGAGACATAGATCTTCTTCCAGAGAGATGTCTTCAAGAGATCTCTCTAGGTCAGAGTCATCTACAGAGGGCAGCCACAGAATAGAGCCGTTCCGAAGCCCCCTTTGCTGCATGCCGTGATTCCATGAGTAAGGGTACACAGATCTTGCGCGCTGGGTTACCGTGTACGAGTCGGCGACCACACAACCGGGTCGCTCGCGAGACAACTAGTCATCATGGCCTGTACAATAAGAGACGATATCTCTTCAATTTGGTAGGCGAGTGGTTCCTCATCCACGAACAGTCCGAACTGCTCATCGCCAAATACCGCAGGCCCCAGAATGCTGTCCAGCGCGAGCACAAACAGAATCATGATTGACCTCTTCTTCCGCGAGCGGCCGATGCCCAGCCAAAAAGACTGCGACGAGTTTGCGCGCGCCCTCACGCAGTGCGAGCCAGATTTGGCGCTGATGCAGGGCGCCAACAGCTACACCGTGCGGGCGGGCCATTCGTATATCGTCCAGTTTCGCAAGCCGTCGCGGAGGCTGGACCTCGCCCTTCTTCGTCTGGCAAGAGAGGTATACGGAGCGCACGTGCCCGAGTTTGTAGAGGTGCACAGGTTCGGCAATCTCTGGGTATACAAGATTACGCAAATGCAGGGGATTCCCGTGTACACATTGCGGACCAACCCTACGGGTGATGTTTGCAAGTCTCCCTTTTGCCGCACAGTGCAGGATTACGCAAGGTTGGTCTCTTTTCCCCTTCCCAGAAGTCGCACTCTCGACACAATGAAACAAGATCCACCTTACAGTGACTCTTGTTCCCCCCCAGATTCTGCGCCGCTTCCTGGAAGCACAGGCCTTCAAGCCCGCCACGCGCCCGAGCGACGCTGCAGATTGAGTACCTCGCCGCGCTCGAAAAGCTGAGCCACGCGCTGCCCGACCGCTTCGGCGCCGACGTGGAGCGGGCCCGCGAGGCCGTGTGGCGGCTGTTTGGCGGCGACTGGCCCATGGTCGTCAACAATCCGCAGGTGACGCGGTCCAACGTCCACGTCGCTGACGACGAGTCGGGCGCGCTGTTGGGCCTCGTCGCCTGGGGCACGGCCGAGGTCGGGCCGTGGGGCATGATGGTGCCGGGCATCGAGACGCTGCTCGGGCATATGAGCTACGGCGGGACGTGGACGCGGGTGGACGGGTACGCGACGCTGCGGCGGCTGTTTTACGACGAGCTGGGCCGGGAGCTCGGCGGGCTCGAGGACGAGCGCCTCGACGGCGTGTACGCGCTCGGGCTGCTGCTGCAGAAGACGCCGCACTCGCTCGGGAGCTGCTGGGAGACGCTTGAGGAGGGCGTCTTGAGCGACGATCATCCGGCGGTGACGTTTCTCCAGTCGGCGTTGCTGGATTGGAAATAAAAGCTGTATTTTTCAAAAAAGACAAAGCCGAGTTGACATACTAAATTATGACAGAAGGTGTCCTTTGTATTGTCTTTGTTCAAAGATTAGATGGTTCTGTGGCGAGCTTCACTCCGGGATCGTGATATTGGAACGGCTCCCATAACTGTGCATGCTGCGGCCTGGCACAGGTTCGTCGGGGCAGATTCTGTGTAGTTCGAGTTTGTTGCCCATCTATTCTGTAGGTAGAAAGTTGTATTCGGGCCATGCACGTAGCGAGCTAGTTCATATTGCGCGTTTGTATATCAGGCCATGGATGTTGTCGAAGAAGTATTTAGCACGTAATGTGAGGCTCAAGGAGTGGCAGCCCTAAAAGCGACGCCAACATGTACAATCTAGTTCTTTTCAATAATGGCGGCGTGTCGAGATATATAAAGTCGGTAAATTGATGCCTGTTTGAGTACCTCAACGACATGGTAGTCTGTCAGTTGTGGAGCAGCTTGTGGGGACATTTTGTGGCTGGTGCCGCTTTAATGGGCGCTGTCATGCTGCTGCTGCCTGGTATATCCTCGTACAGCCGTCTCCGTCCCTAACCTGAGGCTGAACATTCATTTTGCACTATTTCTTAGGTTCTTGTTTTGATATGCCTGGGGAAAGCTACAGTTTTCAAGAACAATTAGCAGGCAATAATATTCTCGTGGCTTCTCAGAGGTGTCTGGTAGAGCTGCTTGTGTGTACTGTCTCGATGCAGCCTGGAGTACGGCACTGTGTGGAGCGGCCTGTGACGTGCAGTGTCAAGAGTGTTTGGTCAAGTACGTGTCAGTCTACCTATGGAGCTGACTGAATGATTGTCTTGCTTTTTGGCAGGCTTGCATAATCAGCATGTGGCAGATTCGAGTGAAAGCAGCTTCATTGAATCTGGCTTTAGCGTGGCCCAAGGGAAGCCGCGTTGACAGCAATGCATCATGATCGGCAGGCCAAATTTATACGGGCCATCACTGTGCTGGTAAGAAGCAGCTCTGAAGTTATCTCGGAAAATAAAAAGATGAAACGAGTCAATCTCGGCATGAATGCGCTCGCTTACTAAGTTATTAACTATGACAGGCCACATGCAATAATAGTTAATGCCACATTCCTCTGGCTGGATAAGTGCCAAAGGGCGGCGCTGGCGCTAAGCGGAAGTTGGACGAGCTCCATTGTAGGTACTCAGTAGCATCGCCACCCAAGTCCAGATAAACGTACAGTGATAAGCCCAAGTCTTGCACCTGCTTAGGCAAATACATCTGAAAACATTATTTCACCATCTTTAGTACAGCCACAGTTTCTGTCACCAAGCCGGCGACACCTGGATCCATCGATCCACTGTAGCTTGATGCTTGCCCACCAAATAGTCCGATCTAGTGCAGATTTAGCGGCTGCTCCCTCGTGCTGGCAGCTGCTGCGGGCCTCTTTTATAGATTTGAACAGCTGTACCTAGAGTGCTTCTGAGGAATTCCGAGCAGCATCATGGGGTTTTGGTAAATGAAGAGTGATTTTCTCTGGACCAGCCTAGCCTCAATGTACCTTCAGCGCCTGACTCCATGGGCATTGTATGTGATTTGGTTGTGTTTTGTTCTGGATTACCTTGGACCCACTCACCACTGTAGGCACAAGTACAAGGGAGGTGGCAGGCCCGTAGGCATGATGCTCCGGCGTCGTCTCTGCCCATCCACCACCTAAAGATGGTGCTTTTTTTCTGGTCCCGAATCATCTCCAACATTTCTTGTCCTCCTCTGTTCCACACCCACCATCCTCGCCTTTTGTTTTTTTTTTTTAACATTGCCTTTGCTTTTCTTCCCTCCCTCTTCTTTTCATCAACGACGCTCCCTCTTCCGTAAAGAGCCGCCCCCAAAGTGGCAGCTCCTTCTCTCTCCCATTCAAATACCCACCCTCGTCCTCTGTGACGTTGACAACGACCGTGATTAGTCGTTCGCAAAGCTTCTTCCACTCGTCAGCCCTTGCCTTTCCGCCGCATCTTCCGACTTTCGATCACGCTGGTTTCATCATCTTCTTCTTCATCAGCGCCATTCGTTTCTTTTCTTTTTCCCTTTTCTGATTTCACTCTTTTATCGATTACCCTTTGCGCGTATCCACCAAACCGCATGACCATTCTGCGATCCTTCATCTCGACTGCAGCTCTGACGCACTGCTCGTCTGCTCCCTCCTCGCTGCTGTAGGCTCTTTGCAGCCATGACTCCTGCTCCTCGCCGCAGAAATTTGCTTGGTCATCGCCGTCGCGTCGAGGACGAGGGCGACGATGACGGCCGTCCAGACGGTCTGGACCTTGATGACGACTCCTTGACCGATGGCACCATGGCCACCGACGACCATGATGCCGCCGTCGACAGCGACACCAGCAACATCGAAGACGCCTCGCCCACATCTGGTCCTGTCCAGCATGTCTCCAATGGCTCTACTAAATCACAACCAAAGCGCCACTCCAAACCCGCTCCCCCTCCAGCCCCTGTCGCCACGCGGCCTGCCGCTATCGCGAAACCACCCGCCGACGACCAGACACCGCCGCAGCAGATTCAGGCACAGTCCAACCAGGTTGTGCCATCGCCGTCGAAATCTCCATCCGCGCCTGTCATTGTCAGTTCCGCCTCGGCCATGAGACCGCCTGCCACTGACCCAAATGCTCGACGCCGCAACGAAAATGATGACTACAAGCGTCGGCGAGACCAAGACCCTGCCTTTGTTCCCAACAGAGGCGCATTCTTCATGCACAGACAGCCTCCAGGTCCCCCAGACGCCACTTTTCGCCCCTTCGGCCGTGGTACTAGAGGACGAGGCGGTCGCGCTGGTTTTGCTGCGAATAATTATGGCCGTATACAGTACGCTTCAAACCCTTCCTAACCTTGGCATTTTGCCCTCAAGTCTTGTCATCGCCTCGTGCTAACCATTGCTTCACAGTCCCATGTATCAGTCGGCGGACCCAACGGCCAACATGCCATGGACACATGACATGCATGAAGCCATTTCTGTTCCCCAATACCCCCGACGATCACGCCAAGTATCTATGGAAGGGGGACCAGCACACGGCAATGGATTCATTCCGACCTGCAGAGATAGCGACAAGCCCATCAATCGAACGCTCTCGACGGAAAAGCACATAGGAAACGTTCAAGTCCGCGTTTATCTCCCCAACATGCAGGAGCCCTCAATCTACTCCGGCATTCAGATGAAGCAGTACACAAAGCTTCCAGATCACCGACCACCGCTACGGAGAGATAAACCCGTGCGTATCTCCCTTCCCGAGAGGGAGCCGAGTTACATTTACCCGGCATCGGACCGATCATTCACCTTTATTCCACGGGCTCTTCGACCGAACCAGCAGCATCGCGTCCGCGGCAAACCTCGATCAGGCTTTGGCTCTGTGAGCAACTTCTCCCGTCGTACCAGCGCTTTGGGCGGCAGCTACTATGGCAGCATGTACTCTGCTAGTGGTAACATCAGCCGTAGGTCGTCTATTATCCACGAAAGGGATTTCATGTTTTCGCCTACTGGGTCCGCCGTCTCTCGGGCACCCTATTCATTGGACAGGCCGATAGTTCGTCTTCCGCCTTGTGCACGAATGGACATGACGCCAGACATCGGTACCCAGTTTGGGCCACCTATGCACATGCCTATGCCTTTACCCGTGCAGGAAATGCCGCCGCCAGGCAGGATGGATGGCAGTTTCATGGACGGCGCAGGGCCCGCACTGCCTATGTATCAGCCTCGGCCCCAGAAGAACATCTCTGTGGCGCATATTGAATCGCCCGGCATGCCCCAAGGTGGCCAGACTTTCCAACAGGCCTTCCATCAGCAAGTTCCGGTCCAGGTCGGCGGTGGCTACCAGCAAGACAGCCACTCAAGGAGGCCGTCGCACTCGCAGCGCGTATCCGGTACACCGCTGTCGCATATTCCAGAGCGCCCCGCGCATGCTGCACCATCTAACACCAACGCCTTTCCTCAGCAAGGTTACTACCATGGTCAACCCCAGCCCAACCAGCCCAACCCGCAAGGCTACTATTACCCGGGCAACTATGCGGCAGGCAGCGCGAATGAGCAAGCAAACGGCTACCCCTCGAATGCCCCGAGCCCCATGGCCGGCAACTACGCGATGCAAGGTCAGATGGAACCGCAAGCCAGCCAGACGGGAGGCGCCACCGCATCGGGCAATCTCGTTGCGCAAGAGGCCAACGGCATGGTCTACTACTTTGATCCTTCTACGATGCAACCACCAACAACCACCTATGCTCCTTACCCATCCATGCAGACCTATCCTACGAGCTCCATGGGCATGCACGGGATGATGACGCCTAGCCCCGATACCTTTTACTACTCTCAGACAGCCCCCGGCATGATGTACTATCCACAGTAGGATGATGGACCAGCGGCCGGGGAAGTGTTGCTCCCTTTCCCTCCTCCTTACTCGATTGTTTTCTTTTGATATGTATTTTGAAGTCTACGAACTGTGGCATTACGGCGTCGACTGATGTACTGTCGTTTCATTTTCCTGTCCTGGGCGGAGTTTGGGTCCAATCAAAACAACCGACTGGATGTTTACTTGGCAATGGGGGCAAAATTAGCATGCTTGAGCCTATTTTGATGTTTTTGTGCCGTCATTATCGATGCTGGACTCTTGACCATTTCCTTGTTTTCCTTTTTCCCTTTCTCTTGACATTAGCAAGCTCAATGCCTATTTGTTGTAGCCCACGGGCACTTTTTGTTTTGTGGCTGCGGGCCAGCTCCGCTTAATCACCATCTTGGATTCCCACTGCTGTTTACGGCTCTCTCCTCTGTCTTTGTTTGTTCTATCTTGTTCTGCCAGCCGATTGGGCTGAAATACAATGTCCGTCGGTAGGGCATTGTTTTTATGTTTTGGGAGGGAAAAGATGAAGAGCCAATGGTGGTGATCAATTGCCAACTGTTCTCTGTTGCAGACAGGCTGGGCCTTTTACTTTTTGTCTGAATTTTGAACATGGTCCGGTATCGATGCGGGACCGAGGCCGGACGACACTTTCTATCTTATATCCTCCTTGTCGCATGACGTCTCTTTCCTTTGCTCTGACTGGTTCACGGTCTTTCGTTCATGGTAGCGGTGTTGGTGGTGTTTTTTTTTTTCGGAGACGGGGTATTTCTTACTTGCTTAGGAGCCAAAAGATTTTTTTTTCCTCGAAATCTTTATAACTTTCCCTGACTGATGGTCAAAGGCACTTTGATGAAGTGCGTCATGTCGATATTGCTTTTCCTGCGTCGAGCCCATCTCGCCAGAGAAGGTCACAATAACAAAAGCCGCAACATTTTCCCAAAGTGTCTCCCTCACGACAAGTCCCTTCCCCGAGCCCACCAGCCCCTCTTAGCCGTATTTATCATATTAAAAATATTATGATTTAGCACGAACTACTTCCCCGCCTTCCCGTAGTTGTCCCTGGGCACTTTGGGCACCAGCTACTCCAACTCGCTTCCTATTCCCTGCGCGATGACGGAAGCGTGGAGACAACAAGGCCGAGCCCGCTTCACGAGCTGATGGTGGCCCTAAATGCTGCGGGGTCCCGGGAAAGAAAAAGGCGACTGGAGTTTATTATTATCTTTACTACCTAGGTAATGTACATACTTCAACCTTTCCCCGCACCGAGACGAGTTTCCCTTATCGAACAACGCTTACGGGCCTACGGCGGTTGAAAGGGAAAGAGGGGGTGGGGGGATGCGACGTGATTGCCTTTATGCAAAATAATGTTACGAATAATGCTGTTGAGAATAAAGGTGTGTACTGATGAAGTGAGCTCCTTGCCCATACATACACACACAGTCACACACAACACTCTCTCCGCTCTCGCTGGTTGGAATAATTTAATATATATTTATTAAACCCCTTATCCCCGCATGTTCTCTCTGCCCATCTCGTGATTCACATTTACCTTTGCTGGCGCACCGCACAGACACACAATCACACCACCACCACCACGCCCCATATACACACCTTTGTGGTATTCTACGACGCCATTACCCTCGCTACAAATGTGGTGATATTTTACCACATGTTTATTTTTGCCTCTCCAACCTATATTCTCTCCTTGTGCTCTTCGCCTTCTTCTCCTTTCTCTATTGGTTTATTTTTATTCTTTTGAGAAAAACAATTTTTTGGAAAAAACAAAAAAGCAGAGAGAGAGACAGAAATGGCGGACCTACCCTCGCAGCACCCCTCGCTCTCGCTGCACCTCGCCGACGACACCCTCACTCCGCTCATCACGTCCTCGCGGTCCCGCGCGCACCTCGCGTCGCTCACTTCCCTTGCCGCGTCCGCCCTCGTCGGCCAGGCGGCCGCGCAGCGCGTCGGCATGGGCGCCGTCGAGCGAATCGTCGTCGAGTACCCGCCAGCGTCAGCCGCCGCCGCCGTCGTTGTGCAGTCGTACCTGCAAGTGCCAGAGGCTGCTGGCGGCGCCGCCGCCGTGGCAGGGTCAGAGGAGGAGCAGGTGCCAAGGCTGGTGGGCGTGGTTGTGGCAAAGAATTCGCAGGACGCGAAGGAGGCCAAGAGGGCGGCGGCGAGGCTGGAGAAGGTCGGGAGGGAGCTGCAGAGTCGGTGGAGTGGCACGAGCAGTTCTTGAATGACGTCTTTGTTTGTATATACGGTGTGGGCATTGCATAGCATTGTTTTTTTTTTGTTTCCATGGCGGGGGAGTTGCGGCTATTGTCGACTCTTTGGCGCTGGTGTTTGACTGTCGTTATTTGGAATGCATTTTGAGCTACACGATGGGTAGATGTCAGATCTCAAGCATTATCAGGCGACACTCCATCAAAACCTTGTGAATGGCCATGATTGAATCATTGCATCTCCGAGACTACCAGATCGGCTGGTAATATGGCACTTTGTCGGAACTGTCGAGGACTGGCGCGGTATCAAAACTCAAGTTGACGATTGTGAAATTATCTATTCCTCATATCTTCACCCGCCAATTACCTATAGTAATAGATTGATTGCTGCCACGGACTTGAGTCTGCATACTACTTATCTTCTAGACCGTCACTTTGATCATCTAGACGTATTTAGCCTTTGACTAGCATTGCCACCGCCACGCTACTCGGTCAATGTTGCTTTGTTTGATTTCCGTAACTCTATTATTCAGGAACAACATTGATGAAGAATCGGCTTCTCATTTGTCAACGTATTAGTCAGTTACAGCTAAATTCCTCATAGGCGGCTGTCGCCTGAAGGCCCCAAGATTTGCTCCGTAAGGCTGGGCCGTGCGATACTCGAGATGAAAACGTGGTGCGCTGTTTCAAGCGAACAAGGAGACGGATGAATCTGGGGTAGTCGACTGACGCTCGTTACGACAGAAAATGAAGTGCGATATACGGAGGGGAGGTAAGTGGTGTGGTGATTATTGGGACCATTTTTGCTCTTCATTTAATCATTCGTTGCCCAGCCGCCTTGGCAAACAGCCTTTTCAACGACCGTTGATATATCGGAGCTAGCCATGAGCGGAAAATAACAACCCATAGGCTCCGTATTTGAAGTTCAAACAAGACCAAGTGACTCAGGTATCATCTAGGCCCGCAATGCCGGCATCTACACTGCGCAGGGAGGGAGTGGTGCCAGGGTAGATGGCAAGTCCTACTGTGGCGCGGATCTAGATATAGGCAAGGTAAGAAGATGACTCCTAGAAAGATGAGGGGCGAGGTAGAGATACTTGATAATTCGCATGGCTTATCGAGACACCATATACAAGATGCTATCGGTCATAGTTAGCTTCTGATGACCTATCGGGCTCATATATACATGTATCACAAGAGTGCTGCTCGTGCAGCTTGCGGAGGGGCGCCATGATTCTCTTTTGTGTTGCAAGCTGTGAGCAGCGAGAAGAAATACTTCGCTGTCACGTAGGCACGAAATCACAGAAGCGAGCAGTAAAGAATGGTAATTTTGGATCATGACGTGTTCAATCTGGAAGATTCGCTGTCGAGATCTTGGCGTCGACCTCGCCCATCGTCTCGTTGTCAAGAACATATGGATGCGGACTTGGCATTGTTTCGCCTTTGCCATCTTAATCAGGCAGTTATACCTACGTAAAACTGTCATCTAGGTGCGGTAGCGTTGAAGGTGATAAATAGTCTTTGCTCGGGTTGCCGCAACACAATGTCCGGGTACAGTGCCAGTTGCTACACCCGTACGGTACAGAGCGACTGGTTACTAGCCCGACGCTTCAGAGCGCCACGCTGGATACCGACATATCCACCCCCGCACGATTCGCTCTGATTGCTTGCGAGTCTCGATAGCTGCCTGCGACTGACTAGGGACAACGGGAAGAAGTGTGATCGGGTTTGTCATCAAGCGCGACGCACATATACGTATGTTTCGTCTCGCAATTTCGCGAGATGAGTATCCCCACGGCTGCCTGCCAGAGCTGAAGAGAAAAAAGCAAAGAGTCAAGTGCATTCCGTAGATTCCGGGAACGACGTACGTGTCCCGGAGACGAGAGTCATGGGCTGTTGTGGAATAAATAACTGGTGCTTCAGGTGGCACGCATCACTGTCTCTGCCTGCTGCAATTGGCCTGATTCGGCCTGGTTTGCGGGCCGGTTGGGGCGAAGACCAGGGTTCAGATTGGTGGCGGACGAAACAGCGTCTTGCAACCAGCCAGCCTTTGCCTCTGGTCTCTGGGCCTCCAGGCTTTTGGGACGGGACCTTTTGCAAGTTTGATGGAATTCGACGATTGCACTGTGTACCTAGGTACTTACGAATACGGTCACTGGCTGCCGGCCACAGGCTGCCACTTACTGACGCCCACTGGCCACTCACCGAACGCCCACTGACCACCTGTAAACCTACTGTAACACCCAGAATTCAGCCCAAAAACGGCACCAAAAGCGCCCTTCACTTTATCACCACCACCCACCAAGACCTGGCCCGCCCACAGTAAGTCATTCATTCTCCTCTTTTCCGCCTCCGCCTTTCCCCAAGTCGTAATTATCTCTCCCCTCTCCATCATCCTCTCTCGCCATCACCGCTTGTTTCTTCATCCATCCGTTTCATCTTCACCAGCATCAAGTAACCGCCTGGAGCTGCTGCATAGACTCTTCCACGCGCTTGACAACCCTCACCCATCTTTTCCCATCCTACGGTAATCTGTGGCGTGCGAGTTTCACTACGTCAGTCGCTGACGCACGCCACGTACCTATATTTCCTGCATTCGTCTTAGTTGTAAGTCGGCCCGCTTCACCGCAGCCTCTGCTACTACAACCATCTCACCTCGCCCGCCTGCACCGCCATTTCTGATATCCCGTATCAACGTACTAACACGCTCATCAAATAGTCAATCAGCAAACATGTCGGCTGCTCCTACTGCTCCCGATGCCATGGTCACCGTCAAGGTGACCTATGACGGTACCACACGCCGTGCCAAGATGCCTCTCCGTGAGATGGTCCCCAGAGTTCTCGAGGAGCATGTACGTTTTCTCCTATCAACCTCCCTCTCTGCCTAGGCCTTTCAACTCTTTGATCTATTATCAAACATCATTTTCTGCCCAGCAGATGGCCTCGTACTAACTCGCTTAGATTCGAACTTTCCTACACATTCCCGCCGACCGCAAGTCTATGATCGAGAGATACTCCGACTCGGCTGCTTCCTTTGTTCTCCTCGAGTCGTCAAATATGCCAGTCTACAAGCAACTCTACCGTGCTGCCAAAGCCAAGTCGAAGCTCAAGCTCCGCGTCACGTTAATCCAAGACCCTCCCAAGCCTGCTCCCAAACCCGTTTCCATCGAGCACATCACGGAGCCAGCCATTACCACCCAGACAGAGCCTCAGCAGTCTCCTTCGCAATCTCGAATCAGTTTGCCTCTGCGCAGCTCTGGTCCAAGCATGACCAAGAATTACGACCCTATGCTACTTGCCAAGGCTGCCAGCATGGTCGCTGAGCGTGAGGAACTCCGCAAAGATTTTGAGAGCCGTCTCAGCTGCCTCATGAGTCGCCAGTCTCTCAATCCCACACCTCAGGATACCTCAGTTGCGCCTGAGGAAATCTCAGTTGCGCCTCAGGATCAGTCCACAACCGCCGTCTATGCAGTTTGCTGCAATATATGCAACAAAAGCATTCCCGATGCACACTACCATTGCTCCACCTGCGACGATGGCGACTTCGACCTCTGCCAGTCTTGCATTGACCAGGGTCTTACTTGCAAGAGCGATAATCACTGGCTGATCAAGCGCTCCATTGTTAATGGCAGCATCGTCAAGAGCAGCACCGAGAAGATCTCCCCCAAGCCAAAGCTCAAGGCCACCAAGGAGGAGCCCAAGATTGCGCCCATGTCATACCTCAGTGGCCCTCTTCCCATTCCATCGGGGGAGCTCACACAGCCGGCCATCATGACTCCCTACAACTGGGCGCCTTTCGGACTTGTGCGCACCTGTAACACTTGTCTCCATGGTATGATTATCCTTATCCATACTACCTGCATTGTAAAGCTAATGAGTTGCAGAACTTCCCGAGGCTCAGTTCCTTCACTGCCAGAAATGCGATGATTTTGACCTCTGTCAGTCCTGCTTCTCGGCCAACTCTCATGGCCATCACCCCATGCATGCCTTCGCTCCTGCCGTTCCGGGCACTCTGATGCCTGACCACATCAGCATCAAGATGGCTCCCGGCCGGAACCGCATGCACATGGCCATCTGCGACGGCTGCGATAAGAACATCTCTGGTGTTCGCCACAAATGCCTTGACTGCCCCGACTGGGACTACTGCACTGAGTGCGTTGAGAGCGCCAGCTTTATTCACCCCAACCACCGCTTCGCCCCTCTGTATGAGCCTCTTGATCCGGCCTACTCAGTCTCTACCGTCGAGTCTATGCACATGGGTATTTGCTGTGATGGCCCCCTCTGCAAGTCCTCCGGAGGTTGGCCCGCCTACATCAAGGGCACGCGCTACAAGTGCGCCATCTGCCCTGACCTCGACTTCTGTGCCAACTGCGAGGCTAGCCCCTCCAATGACCACAATAAGACGCACCCTCTCATCAAATTCAAGACTCCCGTTCGCCACGTAAGCGTCACAACTACAGGGGAGCACCAGGATGGACGTCAGCTTCATACTATGGGCGATCGATTCGAAGCTCTCTCTCGGGCATCCTCAAGCACCAATTCTGTCAACGCCGTGCAGACCGTTGTCGATGTGAAGCCCGAGGAGCCTGAGGAGCCTGTCATTAAGTCCGAGACGAAGGAGGAAGAACCTCTGGTTCAGCTCAACGATGTTCCTCAGACCAAGGAGAAACTGCAGGAGACTCTCCAGGAGGAAGAGCTCAAGGCTCGGTTCGTTCGTGAGAGCGTGTCTGATGGTACCATCTATGGCTTAAACCACGTCTTCGAACAGACCTGGACGCTTCGCAACGATGGAAACGTCCCTTGGCCTGCTGGCTGCGTCGTCAAGTTCTCTGGTGGTGACTACATGGGCCACGTTGACTCGACCCATCCCGCCGGCATCTCTGACCTCGTTTCAGCCTCCCAGTCCACTATATGCTACTCGCAGCTTGCTCCCGGGCAAGAATATCAGTTCACTGTACTCCTCCGCACCCCTACTCGCCCTGGCAACTTCATCTCATACTGGCGTATTTGCACCAAGGATGGTTTCCGATTTGGCGACCGCTTGTGGTGTGAGGTGCAGGCTCGCTCTGTCAAGGCCGCTCCTCCTACTCCTCTCCTCACAGAGGAAGAGCAGGAGCAGGAGCAGGAGAAGACTGATGAGTCTCAAGCCAGCAGCACCATGATCTTTCCCAAGCTTGAGAAGGAGTCTCCCAATACTAGTGTGCATGAGGATATCAACTACACCCCGGCTTCTCCTATTGCCTCGTCACCTCCCAGCACTGTTGCGGACCCGACTCCGGCTTCCCATCTTGAGTGGGATGGCTCTGATGACGGTTTCATGACAGACGAGGAATACGACATCCTTGACGCGTCGGATGAGGAGTATCTTGAGCAGCAGCACAAAAAGACGATGAAAGAGTAGGTCGTTGCAGCACGAAGACGGAACTGTAATGGTGTGAGGGAAATCCGACATTTTTTGTAATTTTGTCTCGTGGACGGTATTCAGCGCCACTGTACTCTTCTTGGCTTGGTGAATTTCTTTTGTTTGTTTCTTCCCATGTTTGTGTACTTGAAGATGCTGATGCATGCGGCCCGCCTGAGTTGAGCTGATGAGCTGCGGGATGCCATTCTTTTGCTGTTTATCTTAGGACTAGGAAAGAGATTGACCACGTGATGTGGAGTTTCTCTTGTACGAGTGATGTGATGTGTCAATGAGCAAGGAGCAGCGTAGTGTAAGCCTCGATGTGACTGCTTTAGCAAAGTTCCGTTTTGTATTACCAAACTATCTCTCTTACGAATAAGCGGGCCCAGCATATAAACTGCGGAGTAACAAAGCACTCACCCAATTCACTGGACTCCTTCCACTTAAACTTGTAATGTTTAGAAGTTAGGTATACATTTACCGACACTATTTCTTGCTAGGAATCTCCTGAGCTATTGCCCTAAGATGGCAACCGACGAAGAACTCGTCTCGCGGCGTCACAACTTCAGCAGAACACGATTTCGCCCTTCTGTTGATAAAAAGTCTCACGAGGGCAGCGCGAGACATTGGTATTCGATCTGGTCCTTTGCAAAAAACATAACACAACGGTACATGAACTACAATGGACCGATGGGCGTTTACGAGATTGATATTCATGATCTCTGGTACGACGTCATCAAAATCGCCCAGATCACACCAGCGGATGAGGCCAACGCGGACAGGATTGTGGCGCAGATAATTCGAATTCGAGAATTGGGCATTTTAGAACGCGATATCACCACCACGATCGCCACTAGTGACCAAGAAGATGCCGTGATCAAGAAGGAAATAGCGGTCACAAGTAGTGGCGCTCGGATTTGGACCGACTTACCGTTTCTAGTCGCTGATTTGCGAGTGACGTGGACTGATTCTATAAACATTATGACAGCCAAAGAGCTTGAGAATCTGGCGGGTTTTACGGCGCGTTTGGCAGAATATAACGTTTGCGGCGCACAAACTGCGTCATGTGCTCTAATACTCTTTCGAGCAGCACTGGAGTCACCCCGGCGCATTCTACAAAGCGATGAGCCCACGCGTGAAGGTTTTGCAGCAGAGAAAACGCTTCAAGAGCTGATGCCAGCAGTTTTCATTTGGCTATACTGGGGGAGTCACTGCATCTGGAAGCTATGCTCACGAGAACTGCTTCTGGTCGATGCCGAGCTGAGCGCCATGGATGAGAACTGGGCGGAGGTCGGGGAACTGGCAACCCGAGGAGGTGTAAGCCAACCCGGATTCAATCGAGCGAGGATGAATTTCTGGAAGAAGCGTTTTCGGGAAATTGCAGATGCTGCACGGGAAACGAATACTGTGTTCGCAGACAAGTGCACCTGGTGTGCCTCTTTGTTAGGCCAATGGGATGAGATAATGGGCGAAGGCTGCGCCGAGCCCTCGCTGACCAATAATGTTAACTAAGACAACTTTCCATTTGCAATCTATCTGTGCCCATAGTCGTATCAATAATGACCCAGTGCCTCCTCCGCGCCGGGGCGGAACCGATGAGAAGAGATAAGACTGGTCGTACTGCGCTGCACTATGCAGCGAGGCACAGTGATGCAGCAATTCTAAATGGGCTGCTAGCACTGGAAGTGAACATTGACGTAAAAGATGCACAAGGCCGTACGCCGCTCTTCAGTGCCGTTGAGCGTGGCAGTATAGAATCAGCGCATCGGCTTTTGCAACATGGGGCGAATGTATACGTCAAAGATGATTTAGGAATTACTGTGCTATGTCTAGCGGTGGAATGCGGCTTTATGGGGATAGTTAAAGTACTACTGGAGTTTGGCGCAGATGTGAATGGGTGATGGTAATAATTGAGCTGTAGCCTGGGTGCCTATGAAGATTTCGTGCAGCCTTTTGTCACTGCGTTACATTTGCATGGCAGAATGTGCCCCAAGTATGATGGAGCGCCGTTTAGCTACCTCTGAGACCAAGTATCAGGAGCGCAAGGACGGAAAAGCCACTGCCAATCATAACTGGCATAGTCACCCAGACGCCGCCAAAATGCAACCCCAACTTGAACAAGTGAGCAATGATTGGCGCTATGGCGAGGTTACCGATCGTCTCGACAGTGTTGACGCAGCTGAAAAGGACGACGGAGTTTTCGCCAACTGCTAATACAAGCAAGTTCCTCAGGATCAGGTTGTACATGGAACCAAGTGTCCAGATAACGACGCCTAGATCAGGTTAGAAACTGACGCTCATATTAATACGAAACATAGACTAACCAAAGATCATAATGGTACTTGTAAATGCAGATATGACTAAAATCGATCCAATAAGAAAAAGGAGCCCGCATAAACGTGCTAATATCATATCTCGTCTTTCAGTTGCCATTGAGAACTTTATAGACATAATATAGGATGCAGCTGGAAATAGAACCATAGAAGATATAATGGAAAAAGCAACTTCTAAGGCGGTGAGGTATGAAAGCTAGAAGGGGATCAAGCATTAGTATGCGATTGGAAAGTGTAGCAGAATATAAACACTGACGTTTGCCCATGTCCATCCAAACCTTTTTCGCATAATCTGTGAGCTGAGTCCGTTAGATTGCCAAGCTAGTGTCATGACCAGCAAGCAAATGGCAAGCTTGAAAACGCGTAAATCACACTGTTTGAGCAAATATGAAAATCCAGCCATCGTCTCCTGATAGCTCTTAAGAATTCGGGCCTTGAGTCCGCCCTTGCTGAAGTATTGGTCGTCGTCGTCAGCTAGTGGGCCGGCAGTGCTTCCGCTTGCGATGGCATCGGCGGAAGACCTTGGCCTCTGCGTTGGCTCAAGCAAGAAAAAGGCCGAGAAAAAAGCTAGAACGGCGGACCCAAGGCTGAGCCATAGCAGCAGCCAAGGGCCATAAAGCTGGATCATTTTAGAGCTGGCCATGGTGGCGATTAGGCGGGGACCATAGGCAAGCGTTACCAGGACGGAGATGACCGAGGGACTGTTGAAACGATCAGCTAAAGCGATCATGGCTGAGTAGAAAACATTGTCAGAGTATTGGGCGCACCGAGAAGCGTCGGTAGTAAGGCCTGTGACGTTGGAAAACAGCAGAGCATTACAAACCTGCAGGCCTCCTCCAACAAAGGAGAGAAGAGGAGCAGCCCAGAGAGAATAGACGGAAAAGGTCTGCGGCCAGTAGCCTGTACCGTGTCAATAAAGGAAGGCTACCAGTCCTACCAGTCAAGTAAGTATAGTTGGACATACAAATAAATCGATCGCCTGCCGCGGCAAGAGCTACTCCGAAAGCGTTTATGATGATGAAGGGTTTTTGGCCGTAGCGATCCGCAAGTAGAGCGTATGGTATCGCGGTAAGCAGCCCTGGCAGGAGCTGCACGGTGCCGTGCCATGCGAATAGGACGGCCAGCGCCGACTGCACGTCATTGTCGGCGCCGCAAAATTCTGCATCGGCGCGACCGTGCATGTCGCGGCAGAGATTCTCCTCGACTACCTGATGGAACGCATTCCCCGGCAGTGACTGGGATAACTCGAGCGCGACAAAGTAGACGACGTAGACGAGAATCGTCACGACGGACACGGGGCGCGTAAATGGCGACGGCCGGCTGCTCTTCTGTTGCAGTGGCGGCGGGGTGTCATGGCCGAGCAGGGGCGCCGTCTCACCAGCCTCGGGAAGCTGCTCATCGGCGAGGGTTGCCGCGCCCGCGCTGTTAGAGGTAGAAGAGATTGTCATTGTCTGAGAACTGACTGCTGCTATCAATCAAGAAGCCTGTGAGGGTGAAGTGGCAGCGGCCTTGTTGCAGTCGTAATGTGCGACGAGAAACGGCTTGGGGTAGCCAGCATGCGCCCGCCCTATTGATCATGACCATCAATCAGCCACATGGATTCTGGCCATTTCAAGCATTACAATAATAATATATGTAGGTACTCTTGGCCCAACCAGCGCACAATGCAGCTACCCATCCAATGCATCCCTCTTAGGTATGTATGTAAGGTACCTACCTACCTACCTACATACATGGGTACAACCCGCCAACAGCGTAGGTACGCACCAACAAGCCAGGCCATGAAGTGCTCTCTCTACAGCGCTGGGGATGCCTTAATTTCTTTTTTCTTTTCCTTTTGCGACTGACACAAACAGTGCGCCAGCCACATGTCCACTTGTCCAGCAGCATGATCCTTTCAAAAGTTCCTGCAGGCATGATAACGCCCCCCACCTGTGATAGCAGAGCAAACGGCTGTTGCGGCATGGAGAGCTTGCAGCCTGAAGTCACTTCCAATTGCCTGTTCGTCCTCTTTACTGGCAACGTGAAATTCGATCATCGATACTCAAAAATTGTCAATTTGTCTGATAACTTGGAAAGTGCGTCTCAGTTCGCCTTGAGCGCTGTAGCTTCCCAGCAACCGCGTCAGGTATCAGCCGATGCAACACAGTTGGCGACATGGCAATTCTGATGTTTGAGCCATCCGAAAATGGGCGACTGAATTTTTCCATCGAATACGAGAATGCACTCTTTGCAATTGTCCCAGCCAGCTGTGCTCTATTTGCTATGCTTCTACATGGCATCAGCAAGAGGCTCTGGCGGCGAGCCGCTCGTCGCAATCCGAAGGCCAAGATAGTTACCACCGACAAGGTATACGGTCCCATCCTTCTTTTATCAAATCATAGCTAACGCTATCAAAGATGGCCTTTGTGATTCTCCTCATCTTACACTCCGTTTCCTTGGGCTTGTATTTTTCCCTATCCAATGCGTCAACCCGGTACATGGGCTCCTCCAGTGCCGCAGCGTACACTGTCCGGTTCATCGCAGCCCTGCTCATGTGCCTCGCCGTTTTTCTTTTCGGACCGCACCTGAAAGTCACTACCGACCTATACCTCTTAGGAACATGCATCACTGATGGTTTTCGCATTCACACGCCGTGGGCCGCTGTCAACCAACTGGGTGAGCCCAAGGGCATTTCGCTTGCGGCTTTGCAAACAGCCATCATAGTCGTCACTGCTGCTACTCTGGTCATCTCAGAACTCAAGGCCAACTCGAGTCTTCGCACTGCCCGAAAGAAAGCTGGGCCGGCCCACGTTGACGAGCCAAACAGTGGCACCCTGGGTGTACTGTTCTTCGGTTGGCTCTGGCCGCTTCTTGCACATGGGAGCAAGAATCAGCTTGTCGCCAGCGACATGGCGTCTTCCATAATACGCTCTAAAGCTATATACGAACCGGTTGACGACTTGGGAAAGTGTGTTGGTGATGAAGAATTTCTCTCCAAATTTGCCATGGACTTTCTTTTCGGGGTCATTCTTCAGATTTTGAGTGCTGGCGCAACCCTGGCACAGCCTTTCATAATCCAAGCAATCGTATCCTATTTGCAGGGTGAAAAGAAAAGTGCTGCCGGTACTTGGCTTGTCATAGCCATGGTGTTCGAGTAAGTCAAAGTGTCCATCTTCTATGGCAACACAGCACCAGCTAACCCACGTTGGTAGCCAGCTTGCAATGAGCATCCTGGAAGCTCATGGACGTCTGGCATTCGGCCAAATGTCTATCCGCATGAGGTCCGTCATTGTGCACAAAGTGGCACTACGATCGCTTGCTCGCGCCCCTCCAGCCGGCGGTTGGAGCGCAGCCAAGGGCAAAGTTCTTGTCCATGTGACACAAGACTCGGCCGCAGTGTCCGCGGCTATTAACATCATCGGAATGATGATTCCCAACTTTATCATTGTAGCTATTGGATCATGGATGCTATTTAGAAAGATACAGCTTGCCTTCTTGGGGCCATTGCTCGCGGCCGCAGTCTGCACCTTGATTCCCATCTTGTTGGGCAAGCCGCTGTCCCGAAGCGAGCGAAACTTGTTGGAAACCGCCGAACGTAGGATAGCAACAGTCAAGCATCTTATTTCTGAACTCAGAAATATTCGATTCGGGTATATGCAACATACTATAGAGCGCCAGGCTGCCAACGAAAGACGACTGGAAATCATGGCCGCAACAACATTTCGTCGTATCCTCTCCATCGTCATCGTTGTCGGTATGTTCTGATACCCGCCTGGGCTCTGAATCTCTTTACTAACCTAGTAAGCTATTTTTCTTTCGAGTGTTGCGATTCTGGCGGCCTTTGGCGGCTATTCCCTCCTGCCACACCGCCGTCTTGATCACGGTGTACTCTTTACATCGCTCTCAACGATGCAGATTATGCTCACGCCTCTACTATCCATCATCCAAATGCTACCAAGTCTCATCGCGTCTGTGGTGAGTTGGAAGCGGTTGCTTGCCTTTTTTGAGCAAGAGAATGAAGACGAGCAAGCCCAGGCCACGACTATCACGCCTCAGAAAACGGAGGGCTCGTCAAATTTACCAGCTTTGGGGGGAGAAGTTGACGTGAGAATGAACATAATTCCACCAGCCGTCAACTATTTGCCTTTGCAAATGAAGAACGTGACGTCACTATGGGCTGCTGATTCAACAGCTGTCCGAAATGCCAGCTTGTCTGTGGCGGCAGGACGGTTGGCAATCGTGGCTGGTATTGCTGGATCTGGCAAGTCGAACCTTTTGATGACGATTCTTGGAGAAACTCAGCTCGCATCGGGGACTCTCCATGTTGCAACAAAAGTATCGTTTTGTCATCAAAGCCTCTGGTTCCTTCCCGAAGCTTCCATCAGAGAGAATATCATCTTCGGGAAAGCATACGACGAAGCTTTATATCAGACCGTCATTACCTGTTGCTGTCTTGACCGTGACTTCAGCGCCCTGGAAGACAGTGACGAGACGAAGCTGAGTGTCATCGGGGCTCCTCTCAGTGGAGGACAGCGCCGACGTGTGTCACTCGCGCGTGCTTTGTATGAAGGCGGCGATTTGTTCGCTTTTGACGATATTTTCAACGGTCTGGATGCCACGACAAGGAATACCGTTGCCGCCAATGTCTTTGGTGCTCATGGCTTTCTTGCCAAGAGGCGCGCCGCTGGCGTCCTCTGCTGCACTACCCGTAAGCCTTTCGCATTTCTGTCATGGAGTGCCTGTTGCTCTTTTTTTCAATTGCCTCATGTATATTCTTTGTCTTACTGACAATACCTTTTAGCTCCTTCAATCATGTCATCCTTTGCAAACACTGAATTCTATGTCATGGAAAGTGGCCGGCTGCGCGCGATCGTGAAAAGCTCATTTGCAGACCAGACATTGGAGCATGAAGGTACCGAGGGCTCTCTAACAGCCCGAGCGAACAATCCACATGATGACTCGGGATTGAATGGCCCGGCAGCCCGTCAGGAGAGTGCCATGAGGGAGACTGACCTCGCTGTGGACGCAGGCGCCACAACCGAAGCAACCAAGAAAAAGAGCCTGGAGGCACATCGCATGTACTTCAAATCTCTGGGCTCTCCCTTGGTCATTGCAACAGTTTTTATCTTTCTATTCATATGGGTTGCAGTTGAGAGAGCCAGCGGTGCGTGCTTATCATGAATTGGTGGGAAACTTGACATGGTGTAAAACTAACAACTCGACAGCATTCTGGTTGTCGCAATGGGCGAGCTATGCTACCAGACCAGGCATCGACCTTAACACGGGCTACTACGTAGGTATCTACGCGGCGTTTTCTATCGCAGGAGTTCTATCAGCATTCATCTCGGTTTGGTATGTACTCATTTGCATGGCCTTTTTCACCATTGAACTGACTGTCAACGAAAAGGATCTTTTTCAACCGAGCCATTCCAAGCAGTAGCATCAGTCTACACAAGGACATGCTTGCAGTACTTTCAAAGTGTGTATCATTGCCCTACAAACATTTGTTCTGCTGTCTTCTGACAGTGATGAACCAGGACTCCAGTGTGTCACGTTGAGCAGCATAGATTGGAGACTGTGAATCAGTTGGTTCAACCCTTATTGCCCCCATCTCTCCTGTTTTACTTACGCAATACAGTTTTATAAATGATATTGAAGCTGTCGACCTCCACCTGCCGCAATCTTTGCACAACCTAATCAGTGTGATTGCGTCAGCGCTTGGCTCCCTCGTTGTCATCGGTATCGGTTCCCCATTCACCCTCATCGGCCTATCCATTCTCCTCCCCCTCCTCTTTTTCCTTCAAAAGTTTTATCTGTCCACCTCGTTCCAGCTTCGTTCGCTTCGGGTTGCTGCACAAGCGCCAATGCTCGAGATGGTGAGCGCTTTGTTGGAGGGCCGAACGACTATCCTCGCACTAAGACAAGAGCAATATACTGCGCGTGTCATGTCGGACCGTATTCAAAGGGGTCTAAAAATTGGATACTTATTTAGTGCCGTGCAAATATGGGCCACGCTCATGCTCGGTCTCCTCAACGGATGCTTGGCGATTGCTCTCGCGACTCTGTTGATCGGCCTCGGGGGGTCGAAGAGCGTTGCGTGGGGCGGTCTGGCGTTGGTGAATATCATACGACTTGGGCAAGATAACATGCTTCTTATGGATTGGTGGACATCTTTCGAGTCGGAAATGGCGTCCATGGATCGAATCTATGGGTACATTCACCTCACGCCACAGGAACGCCGCCAAGCACTTGACATACGTCCTCCAAGCGACTGGCCAAAGCGCGGCAGCATTCGGCTGGATAATCTCTCTCTTGCACATGGGTACGAGTTCTTTGTCGAAACTCGGTTCCAACTAACGTAAAATATAGACAACGTCAAGTTGTGAAGCACTTGAGCGTCAATATTCCGCCAAAAAGCAAGGTCGCGATTCTAGGAAGAACGGGCAGGTAAGTGACGCGGCTTTCTTTGATTCTTTGAGTCAATCTTGACTAATTGAGCAGCGGAAAAACCTCACTACTTCAGACTTTCTTTGGACTCATACGTAGCTCTAGTGGATGTGTGCAAGTCGACGGTTTAGACCTTGCTGCCATTGAGGGCGAATCTGTGCAGTCGCGTTTCGTGGGACACCCGCAGAACTTCATTCCTAACGCCGGCGGAACCGTCAGACAAAATCTGGACTTGGTCGGTACTCTACCGGTGTCTCGCATCCAAGAAGTGCTGACACGGCTGGCCCCGCCGCACATGGCTGCGGAGATCATGGCCAAATTGGATTCGCAATGGAACGAGTGCAACTTTTCGCAAGGTTGGCAGCAGACGATTGGCATCTGCCGTACATTGCTTCGTCAATCCAACATCTACGTGTTGGATGAGCCTACAAGCGGGTACGTCTTTGTTGTCTTGTGCGCAAGTGCAAGTCTGCTAATCGTGTCGATAGCATGGATGAAGATGGTCACACCACTGCCATGGAAACGATTTTCAGCGTCTTGTCTGACAGTACTATCATAGCTACCATGCATACTTTGACTGGTATTGAGAAGTTTGACCAGATTATTGTTCTCGAGGATGGGCGTCTAGTTGAACAGGGGTCACCAGCAGAGCTTCTTGCTTTAGAGGGCAGCATGTTAAAACAGCTTGTCAGCGCAGATTGAAGGACTTTCATTTTGTTTGCTTTTCAAGTTTGTGGCTCTCACTTCTTCTGGCTATTAGAGAAAAAGTATTGTATGTATGTAATTTCTTATAAAAGGGAATGTGTGGCTATTGATACGTTGCAAAGTAATAGGCCTAGAAGATAGCTACATGGATAGATCCACCTTGCAAGTATACTGCTACAGGCCTCTTTTCTCCAGAGAAGCCTACTCTGACTATGGTTCTTGCCCGGGTTTCTCCTTCCCAATACCTGAAAAACTCTCCAGATGTAATACTCACAGAATGAACGGCCCCAGCAACAGTGCCGTAGACCAACGTCGACCCGGAGACTGCCAAGTCCACTGGGAGGTTCTCAAGGGCTGCGGAGATCACACTACCAACTGGTGGCAATGTATTGAGATTCCACGATTGAACGGATCCATTCTTTGTCCCTGTAAAAAGGGTATCTCGGACCAGATAGACAGGAGCTACCCGAACTTGGTTGGGTCCATATCCCTCCAAAACAGCTTCACAGAGCCTAGTGAATGGATTAGCCAAGATGACGTCGTCCAGGCTTAATCAAGGCAAACACAAACCCGGTCGTCAAGTTCCAAACTCGTATATAGCCGTCCTCAGCACTCGTCACAGCACGATTTCCATCTTTTTTTATAAAATGAATACCAGACGTGTGACCCTGTAGAACATGAGTACATTCTCCTGTCTCCGCATTCCATACGCGAGCGTTGTTATCGAGACTACCAGATATAATAAGGCTGCCATCGGCGATAAGGCAGCGAATCTCTGCAGTATGGCCTGTGAGGGTCTTTCTTTGCTCGAGAGAATCATTCTTTAATGCCCAGATGCGAAGGGACTTATCTTTAGACCCAGATATAACGGCCTGATCATCTAGAAACTCTAGACATCGCACACTAGCGTTATGGGCTTTAATCGTTTGTACTATAGCTCTGAGTAACTGTGTTAGAGAAAAAACAGTTGCAATGACCATCAGATCACATACCCAGAATGAGAATCAAGCAAGTGAATTTCGCCATTCAAGCTGCTCAAGACTGCAAGCTTATCTCGACAGATAATTTTCCAACCACTTCCCACTTGTGCTATCTTGTGGACCGATCTAGCCTCTAAATCGGCCTTGTAAACAGCCCCAATATTAGTGGCAATAAGAATGGAATTTCCATTCGTACAAATAGATGTTATAATGAAATGTTCAACTGATGGGATCGCCGAAGCTCTCAACACCTGAGGCTGGATGATAGTTGCCATGGCTATGTTTCCTAAACGGTTGCTGCAGGCAGTTGATATAACAAGAAGATGGCTGCTGAATGCCAATAAAACTAAACAGTGTATCTGGAAGGGAAACAATGACCTTTTTCTAGTTCTGCCAGCAGGCATAAGACGGACGTGTCGCAGTGGTATTGGGGGAAGATATGGAGCGCTCCACTAGCGTCAGCCACCAACTTTTCAGCAGTGTCAACGCATGACGAAGCTGTCACGTACACCCTTTCTGGTAAGAAGCGATGATGTGGCTATAGTCCAGGGCAGTTATATGAAGGATCCGCGGGGTATCGCGAGGCGCGATCCTGCACCAGTGGGTTGACGAATCACTGACTAGGTGACAGCAGCCTAAACAATAATGTTCACTCCTGGGCTGTCAGAACACTAGAAGCAACCTATACAAGCGTAGAGAGCCCGTTATGAAGATACGAGTCTTTGAGGAGCAATACTGTACTACCGGAATTATGTACCCCAAAACTGTAGAGAGGGAAGTATGGATTGCAAGTTGTGACGTCCGATAGCCCGTGCACTGCAGCTGGTTGCAGTCAGCAACCCGTACTACATTAATAAACGACTCGATGAAGAAACTGGATTTCATCAAAACAGCAGATTGAGCATCTTTCTATTGCTCGATTCGTTCGAGTATATTAAGCTCGTTGAGTTCGAGCGAACAACCAAAGTGAGGACCCAGTCACCAATGAAAAGTGTTTCGTATTTGCTCCCACCATATAGTTTGTGGTTTCAATTCCGCCAAGTCATGATTGTTCGGTGAGACAGTTTCGTGATGGACTCGGAAAAGACAAGACAACAGTTAAGAAGTAATTGTACACTACATACAACTCGGGGGGTAAAAAAACAGGTAACATCACATAACCAAGGTGACCAGCAGCGCGCTACCATGTCGAGATGTGCCAAATCAGGGGAACATGGCCACAAATTGATGCGATACAGGTTCGAAAAATTTTATGTAAGTGGCAGAAGAATCTTTGTTCCCGGACTAGAGTACTGACAAAGTACTCTTCATCATTTTCCGCGGCGGCAGATGCAGCCAACGAAGCAAACAAACCTTCCAGCAACCGATTAGCATTTGCCTTTTAGAAACCAAACACCACACGCTTTTCGGAACGCGCGGCAGCGGGGACTCTGCTCAGTACTCAGAACTTACTTTTTGACAGGCACGCTCAAGTCTCCTACGCTAGAATAAGCCCACTGTGCGGGAACAGACTCCTTGTTGGCTTCCATCTGACCGCCGCGCTGAATGGTAAAGACACACGTTGGCCGGGTCAAATGTTTTCTCAAATTTTACTGTATCAGTAGCGGAATAATCCTGAATGTTGAGAGTAAGGCCAAGAAGGTCGGGTCAGTCTATGCTTGAAAAGCAAGTCGTTCAATTCCGCGTAAAACGCAGGCTTCTCAGGTAGCGGCTGATAAACTGCAGGGGCCAGGCCTTTGTTGTAATCAAATTCGAAAGGAAACATGCGGCCCTGACGAAAAAACCCATGATCTGGGGCTCAACAGAGCCCCCGATCACGTCGAGTCAGATTGAGCGTACTGCCACGGGGAAGAGACGGCACCCAGCTCGACTAGCTTCTCGGAAAGGGGAAAGGTCAAAGTGGCGATGAAGCAGGCAAATGGCGAGCTCATCGTAGACATTGTGCTTCAAAAACAGTCGACTTCGGAACCATCAGTATACATAGATATTATATTATAAATACTTTCAATATCTTAATATTATATTTTATTATAATTATAAATAATGAAAATCCCTTAAATATATTATTTTCTTATAAAAAGCTAAATAAAGAACTAATCCTTTAATTAAATTAATAATAATTTATAAATAAACTAATTACTATTACCTAGGTTAAGTTCATATTATTAACATAAAATAACTCTTTTTTTAAGGAAACCTATTTATACTTCTAATATTATTCTTTATATATTATTCTTTTATAATATCTTTATAATATAATATTAGAAAAATTTCTTAGCCTAGTCTAAGAACCTCTAAGAGGTTAATAAACCTAGATATTATAATAAGCCTATAAAAGCACTCTAATACCTTACTTAGATTTAGATACCTAGTCATCTACTAGTATGACTAGTGGACTGCTATACCTTCGTTATCAGGCTTAGCCCTGGTAGACGCCTTTTGCCCTCGTTAGGGACGCCACGGCGTTAAAGATCAAACAAATCAAATCAAATCAAATCGACATCACCAGTCTACTAGGAGGTTTTTGGGGTCTCTTAAAAGTGATACTCATAACTACCTCTTGAATTATAGTGACCAACATGAAAACATGATACACAATATTAGACTCAAAAAATAAACTCTGAAGAATGATCAGTCTTTAATCTGTCCTGGCTGAGTAGATATTGATTGGATCTTTGGATCAGTAATACGGTGATGTAAATCTTGGCCGTGTACTTGATGCCTGAGGCTACATTGTGGGAGTGGGGTGTGTCCCGATGGGGCGGCAAACCATTGGCTGCAGGTCACTGGCTGAAGCTTGGCCGTCAGTTGCTGTTGACCAGCTGCCAGTTGGACTTTTGGCGCCCCCCCGTGTTGTGGCTTTTTTTTTTCTCACCACCCAAGCATTGCCGTGAACGGCTCCGTGTGCATCCCGCCTCCCACAACACGAAACAGACCAAACGCAGCCATCTCCCAATTCTTGTGCGCCCGTGTTTCCTTCATCCACAAGGGCGCAGGCACTTCCTCATGCATCGAATTCTGTAGCACAACATTCTTCTGCTGCCTCCAAGGGTTCTGACTACTTTTATTTGCTGCCCGTGGCAACCCGGGCGACAACCCCTTGGGACCGTCGCAAGTTTTTTTTGTTGGTAACGACGCGACGATCAACATCGCACCTGTGCAACGCGGACAATCATTTCCACCTGTTGTCTGCTTGCATGAACTGCATCGCATCGTTTGTCTTTCACAATTTGATAAACCAGATCGCAGTCGACGCGTGCGCTCAGCCTCAACTACTACATCATGGTCACCTTTGCCTTGCCCAGCAGCGATGGCGACTCCGCCCCAGCCACCAACGGCACGCCACGGGCGCGTCCTCCTCTGCCCTTTGCGAAGCGCTCATATGGCGCTTCGCCATTTGCCAAGGGGCCATCCAAGCTCCTCGGCACTCCTCAGTCGGCGCCGTCGCGCCGATTCTTCTCCAACCGAGGCGAGACGCCATCTACCTCGCTCAACAAAAGCTCCATCTCGACAGCTCGAAATATCTTTCAGGCCTCGGCCAGCGCGCAAAGCCCACCTGCCGGCTTATTCTCGCCGAATTTGCCGCAGAGTACGATGAAGAAGGTCTTTGCCCCGGGCGCGACCCCCGAGCCGTCGCGAGTTTATAGAGAATCTACAGCAAGTGCTGCGCCGCGCGGAATGGCGGCCAAGTCGTCAGATAAGGATCTTTTCCCTATGCGCATTTCATCGCCACCACGCGAGCTTACTGGCGAGGCTCTCGCTCAAAAAGTTCCCAAGGATTGGAACTCGAAGGGTTCCATCTACAGCGATCAGTTTCTGAGCCATCTTTGCCCCCCTGATCTAGATGAAGAGCAGCGCAGACAGTTTTTCTGCATCCTTGATCTTCGTCGTCTGAAATATGCTGCGAACGAGATCTTTGCGCGAAAGGATTGGAAGCTCAATGTCATCAACTTTGCCAAGGAGTTTGAGAAGAGCCGAAGCATCATTCTGCTTCGCTACGGCCTTTACGAGTTCCAAAATGTTAAGCCTTCGAAGGAGGTCCTGAAGAGATGGCGCCGCGAGCACGGCCTTCCTGAGCCGCAAGAGGAGGAAGCGGAAGCCCCAGTTGCGACTCCTTCTAAATCTTCTTCGTCCAAAAAGCGCAAGGCCGACGATGACCTGACTAAGGACACGGCAAGCAGCGATGCCAAGATCTTGGGCAAACGCCAAGCTACTGAGGTAGTTCATGAAGTGGCAGCCCCCGTAGCTACGCCTCAACCCTCAGGCAAGAACAAGCGCAAGGCCTCCACCGACGAAGAGGAACAACCCTCCAAGCGATCCACGCCCTCTGCAACTAAGGCTCTTTTCGAGAAGATCACCAATAACTCTGCCGAGGCTTCCACTCCCAAACCGAACCCTTTTACTCACAAGCCTACCGCTGGTGGTTTGGCTCGCTCCGTCTTCACAAACATAAAGGCTGGCGCGGGACAAGCCCCTGTCGGCACTGCCCCTGCTGCAAGCAACAACATTTTCGGCCACCTGTCTGATGCCAGTTCTGCCCAGAATAGCGGAGTCGACGCTGATAGTGATAGCGATGCTGATTCAGCGGAAGACGAAAGCGCCGGTGCAGAACAGAGCGAGGAGCCCAGTGCCGAAGCCAGCGTAGTCGAGGAAGCGACGGCATCTACAGCTGCTGGCGATTCCACGCGCGAGAGCACCCCGGCCCGCAGCCTCTTCGACCGCGTAACCAAGGGCACCGATGGTGAGCCTGTTCGTGCTGCTGAACCTGAGAAGTCTGTTGCCGAGTCTCCTGCGCCTGCCGATAAGACTTGGAACCCCAGCACCACGCCTATGAAGTTTGCTCCATCAGGCTCGCAGGCTAGCAATCCCTTTGGCGGCTCACAGACCTCCAGCGCGTCTGGCCTGTTCGGTGCAAAGACCGCAGCTCCAGCTACCTCAAACCTTTTCGGTGCTCCCAAATCTGCAGAGACTAGTGACAAGACTGCCGCTCCTGCTTTTAGCACTAGCAGTATCTTTGCCCCCAAGAGCACCGCCCCATCCAACATATTCGGTGCCAAGCCAGCCACTACTGACAAGCCTGCGACCCCTACTGCTGACTCTAGCAAGGATGGAGGCGAGTCTGACAAGGAGAATGACTCCCAACCTTCCAAGAAGCCCGCGTTTGACTTCAAGCCCTCTGGTATGACCTCATCTTCGGGACTCTTCGGTGCTAAGCCTGCTGCCTCTACTTCCGACACGGCTACCGAACCGGCCAAGTCCGCTGCGAACATGTTTTCTGCGGCTGCTGCTAAACCAGCGGCCGCAAACCTGTTCGGCAGCGTGGACGAAGCCAAAGAGCCCACACCCGTGACGCAGTCGTCGACACTTTTTGGCGCTATGCCTTCTGAGACAGCCAAAGCTGCTTCCACTGAGGCTTCCGCACCGACCTCCAGCGCGCCACTGTTTGGTGCTCCCTCGCAGTCAAACCTCTTTGGCGCTTCTGCTGCTCCTTCTCAGTCACTGTTCGGCGCTACTGCGCCTAAGACTGATGCACCTGTCACTGCTCCTTCTCAGCCACTGTTCGGCGCTACCGCGCCTAAGACTGATGCACCTGTCACTGCTCCCGCCGCTGCCGCACCCATCTTCAGTTTTGGCGGGAACTCGAACTTGTCGGCCACGCAGTCCGCTTCTGCCAAGCCCGCCTTTGCACCCAAGTCGCCCGAGGGTAATGCCATGTTTGGCAGCCCGATGAAGCAAGACGACCAGTCTCCCGCGAGAAAAATGTTCACTGGAGGAACTTCGTCTGCACCCGGATCTTTCACCACCTTTGGAGGCGCAACTAGCGCAGCCCCCGTAAATTTGTTTGGAGGTGCTGTTGGCGGCAACGTCACGACGAGTGGCAACACATCAGTTTCTTTCGGAGCTGTTCCTGCCACCAACAGTGGCTCGAGCAGCTTCAACTTTGGCTTTTCAGGTGGAGGTCCCAGTAGTGCCGATGGCAAAAGTCCCAATACCAGCTTCAACAATCCCTTTTCCAGCAATACTGGCGGCAACCTTCATTCTGTCAACCCTGCGAGTACCGGCATGTTCAACTTCGGTAGTGGTGCTGCAGCGCCAGCATCGGGACCATCTACAACCTTCCAGTTTGGGGGAGGCACAACAAGCGTTTCTGCTCCTAATGGGGGAGGATCTACGTTTGGAGGCAGCAACCAGGCTTCCGGCAGCTCGACGCCCCTTTTTGGCGGCGCGTCTGCGGGCGGTGCTCCAGCCTTTAACTTTACAGCTGCCTCTCCCGCTCAGCCGCAGGGTGGCAACGTATTTGGCTCGAGCCAGGCCGCACCATCCTTTGGTGCCAGTTTGCAGCCTCCAATTGGTGGATCCTCTACCACCGGGACCAGTAAGTCTCAATTTCCGAAACGGAAAATCGCCCCGCTAAAGCGCCGGCTGTAGACTCGCCGTTAAACCTGGGAGGAGGCTCGAGTTTGGCGACAACGCCAGGTGCAGGCACTCCGGAGCCCAGTGCCCAAGTCGAAGCGAACGAGAACGGTCACGACGAAGAAGGTGAAAAGCATGAACAGATCAATCTCACAGAAGGTGCCGAACCTGAGGAAGAGGCTGTGCATGAAGTGCGGGCCAAGGTGCTTGGATATGTTTCATCCGACGAGAAACCTGACGGTGAAGACAAGCCTAAGCCCAAAAGTCCATGGACGACAAAGGGAGTTGGATTGCTGCGTGTGCTGAAACACAAGGAGACAAATGCGGTTCGTCTGCTGCTGAGAGCTGAGCCAAGAGGCAATGTTGCCCTCAACAGGACGCTGTTACCGGACATCGCATACAAGGGAGATGACAAGTACGTGCGCCTGGTGACTTCGAACGAGACTGGCGACGGACTGGAGACTTGGATGCTTCAGGTCAGAAACAAGGATGTGGCCAAGACGTTGGCCGAGGCTTTGGAGGAACACAAGGTGCATAATAAGACGGATGAGTAATAAGATGTGTCGGGCATTGGATTTTGATTCGGCCCACGGGCCTGGAAATAGCATTTCAGACGGCTAGGGTACACAGTCGCAAGGAGAAGAAAAAGGTATAGTAATTGTTTCCATTACTGGTTAGCATCAACGGCGTTCTTAGAGCATGGAGGGCTGCTTCAGTTTATTAGTGGGCAATCTGTCAAACGAGGGGGCCATTTTAGCTGTTCTGTTTATATTGTATCAAGGCTTACAAAAGGGAAAATAGTCGTGTTTGCTTCTGGTCTTGATTCTCATGTCTTTACTATCTTTGGTGAATGTAATGAATTGTAGCAATTGTGTTCCGTAGCCTGTAACTTGGACTTGTCGTTGGAGGTTGTGTGTCTCAGAGTGGTGGGGGTGCCGCCTTGCCGCCCAGCCAGTTTCCACCAAAAAGTGTCTTCAGATTACATCGCGGGGCAAGCTCGCTGCGCGTGTCGCGTTTCCCTAACCCGCAACGTTTGCGAGCTCGACTGCCGCGACCCTCAAGACGACCCGCCGCTGCCGCCGACAAGATGCCACGGTACGGAAAGACGAGATTTTGAGACTGAATTTCCAGAGTCTAACCATTTGTCCCTGATTTGCAGGGAAATTATCACGATTCAGGCTGGACAGTGCGGCAACAGCAGTGAGTTGGAACCATCAAGGAAATAACCGCCGTGAAGAAGAACGAAAGAATGGAATGTGCAGGAGCTGATGCATTTGGAATGGAAATAGTTGGCAGTCAGTTCTGGCAGCAGCTCTGCCAGGAACACGGCATTAGCCAGGACGGCAACCTCGAGGACTTTGCGACCGAGGGCGGCGACCGCAAGGACGTGTTTTATTACCAGAGCGACGACACACGCTACATTCCGCGCGCGATCCTGATTGATCTCGAACCGAGGGTACGTTGGCACGTCTTGGGCCCTGCGCGCATGGTTCCCTTTCCGTTCAGGCTGGTCGTGGAGGCGAAGAGAAGCGAGCAGGAGGGGCGCAGTTGCTAACCCGGGAACACTTTGGCAGGTCATAAACGGCATCCAGACGGGTCCGTACAAGAACATTTACAATCCGGAGAACTTTTACATTGGCAAGAATGGCGTGGGCGCGGCCAACAACTGGGGCGATGGGTACCAGAGCGGTGAGGAGGTGTACGAGGAGATTGTGGAAATGATTGACCGCGAGGCGGACGGCAGCGATTCTCTCGAGGTAGGTTTTCTATCTGTTGACCAAACTCATGTTGTGTAATATGGCTTAGCAAGAGTATGCTGACGCGAACAAAACAAGGGCTTCATGATGCTGCACTCGATTGCGGGCGGCACAGGCTCCGGTCTGGGCTCGTTTCTGCTGGAGCGTCTAAACGACCAGTTTCCAAAAAAGATTATCCAGACGTACTCGGTGTTTCCGGACACTACCAACGCGGGCGACGTGGTCGTGCACCCGTACAATAGCATCCTGTCGATGCGCCGGCTGACGCAGAATGCAGACTCGGTCGTGGTGCTGGACAACGGTGCGCTGTCGCGCATCGCGGCGGACCGCTTGCACGTTGAAAAGCCGTCTTTCCAGCAAACCAACCAGCTAGTACATATACCCCTCGCTCACGCCCTTCATTTCACCATTTATGAGCGCTTTCTCTAACTTTTGCCCAGGTCTCTACCGTCATGTCGGCGAGCACGACGACGCTACGGTACCCCGGATACATGCACAACGACCTCGTCAGCATCCTCGCGTCGCTCATCCCCACGCCGCGCTGCCACTTCCTCATGACGGCGTACACGCCGTTTACGGGGGACCAGGTGGAGCAGGCCAAGACGGTGCGCAAGACGACGGTGCTCGACGTGATGCGGCGGCTGCTGCAGCCCAAGAACCGCATGGTGTCGACGGTCCCGGCCAAGAAGAGCTGCTACATCTCGATCCTCAACGTCATCCAGGGCGAGGTCGACCCGACTGACGTGCACAAGAGCCTGCTGCGCATCCGCGAGCGCAAACTCGCCACGTTTATCCCCTGGGGCCCCGCGAGCATTCAGGTCGCGCTGACCAAGCGCAGCCCGTACATTCCCATGAGCCACCGCGTGAGCGGGCTGATGCTGGCGAACCACACGTCTATTGCTACGGTAAGTATACTATTGATTCGACTTGGTTGCTGCGGAAAAGAAGAAAGGAGAGGAAAAGAAGAAGAGGACCACTAACAGCCCTGCGTGCAGCTCTTCAAACGCATCGTCAAACAGTACGACGGCATGCGCAAGCGCAACGCCTTCATGGAAGGGTATAAGAAGACGGCACCCTTTTCCGAAAACCTGCACGAGTTTGACGAGGCGCGGCAAGTGGTGGGCGACTTGATTGCCGAGTACGAGGCCGCCGAGGACCAAGACTATCTCAAGGCGGACGCGGCAGAGCCGACGAGCGCGGACAATGACCGGCGAATGACTTGAAATTTCCCTTACATCTGATGCAATGTGAGACATGTTTTGACTTTTGGGGGGTTTTTTTTTTTGTCGTTCAAATTTACGAATAGGGTACCTGTGCGAGACAAGGGAGGTTAAGCTTGTAGGCGTTTTTTTATGATTGATATACTCTGGCATAGAGATGAATTCTTTTGCGTGCCGAAAGAAACGATTACTGAAGAAAAAAAAGAGACAATTTGATGGGATTCAAACTTGTCGTGTCAAAACTTGGTCATGTTCCGAGAGTAAGACTATTACTATCTGTTCTAGTGTTGTCTGCTATTGTGTAGTCATTGTATCGTAAAAGTTCCAAAGAGCGAGCATAAGTGAAAAAAAGCAAGAGAAAGAGAAAGCTAAAACTAGACAACTATTTTCCCAGCCATGCAACGCCTCGTGTATGTATTCTATAGTAATGACCAAACCAAAGACAATAATGGGGGAAAAAAGCAAACATGCCAACGTAGCGAAAGAAAGCATAACAAAAGGGATATCCAAGTCCCGAAAGTAAAACAAGTATCGGTCAATTTTTTCATGACAAACCTCAATCCTTCTTCTTGCGAGCCTTTTTCGCATCATCGGCCGTGTAATCTTGCGCAAAGTTGGCATCCTCGAGACACTCGGACACGACGGGGTTGATAAACATGTGCTTGTCGAGGCCACCGCGAAACAGCGTCTTCATGAGGGTGACGCGAAAGTACAGGGACCAGGTATCGACCTTGGCGACCCGGTTTTGCAGACGCAGCTTACAGCGATATCCGTACTCGGCGCGGCCGTCGTCTGTGCGCTGGCCGACAGGGACGCGCTCATCCTTCTCGGGCATGTAGAGGGCGGTGGAGTAGAAGGGACCGACGCGGCGCTCGAGCGAGGTGGCGACGCTGGTGAGCGCCTCGCGGAGCTCGCGACGTGAGCGGCGCGAGGCGGATTTGGCACTGAGCCTGGCGAGCTCGGCAATGCGGCCGACGAGGCGCTGAGGATCGTAGGGGAGAGGAAAGGGCGTGCCTGTTTCGGCCTCGTGATTGCGCGATGACTCGTATATCAGGGCGATGCACATGGCGGCGGCGGACTGCACGTCGATGTCGGCACTGTCGAGCTGGTCGGTGAAGGCGTCGATGGCGGTATCGGCATAGTCTGAATAGTCGTCGACGTGGGCGGCGACGAAACCCCATGTAACCAGCGCGGTGGATACAATGGTGGCGTTGTCGTGAGCGTCGATGCTCTCGCCGTCGCTCTGCACAATGTCGACGAGGTACTCCATAGTCTCGAGGGCAGCCTCCTCGACGCCGCCACCATAAAGCACACTCATGGCGAGGCCGTAGAGGGCCCACTGGCGACAGGTATTGTCGTCGTCGTCGAGGAGAATTTGCTTGAGGGCGCGGGCAGCACCTTCATAGATGTCCATGTCATCGACGGTGCCGAGCGTGAGGCAAAAGGCCTGCAGGCTTAGCAAGCGCTCGCGGGGTGAGTCGCCGCGGTTGGCGCCCTTAAGGAAGGCGTCGGTCAGCGATGTGGCGGCGTCGTCGAGCCAGAGATGTGTATCTTCGGAGTAGCGGGTGCGAATGAAGCGGATAAAGGCGTCAAGGTACTGCTCGCGGAGCTCGGTATTGTTGTGCTTGCGGTCTTGAATGGCCTGGATGAGAGCGTCTGTGTCGAGGCCTGGTCCGGATGCGCCATCGTCTGCGGGAGTCTCGAGAGAGTCGGCTGAGTGAATGCTAGACATCATGTCGTCGAGATCAAAGTCACTGCCGTCAGAGTCGGAGTCAGATGCGGGCCGGCTGTGGGTGGTCGAGTGGGTGGGCGAGGTCAGCAGCGACGCGATCGGGGAGCTTGTCCCTTGCGGCGTTACCGCGCCCGAGGCACGTCCTGATTTAACGGCCTTGCGAGAGACGGTCTTGTTGCCCTTGAGGGCCTTGACTCTGGCGTGATTCATGGTGGTGGTGTTGGTTCTGCGCAAGCGTAGCGAGCGGCGAGATATTTGCGGGATATATTGTTGACCCTTTTTTCGGGCCTGCAGCTATGTATTGTATGTGCAGGACTAGGCAACAGTGCTCGAACAAAATCTCTTGGCGGGGTTGCCTGAGGTATGACGTCGGTGAAGCCTAGTTTTGTCTTATCGTGGGATGATAATGTGGGGGTCAGGGATCTCTGGAGGCTATCGGTAGGATCTGATGTGTGGCAAGAATATCGTGGGTGCGCGGCACATGTGGAAAAATAAGTTAGTTGATAGTTGATAGTCGATAAGAGGGTGAGTGGCAGAGTGAGAGCCAAGAATAGTCGGGGCTTTGCAGTAGTCTTGAGATGTTGAAGGAAGAGAATAATATTGCGGCGTATGGAAATGTGTGGGAAAGAAGGGCAGAATAATAAATGCCATGGCCTGTCAGATGAATCTTGGAATGATGTAAATGGTGCGAGTTGGCATTTAGTGTGGCGAGTGGGTACCATGGGTGCATGGGTACCTTAGGTATCTATTAGGTGGTTACGGATAGTGTGCCTACCTTAGGTACCTCCAAGACCTGAGTGTACCTAAGGTGAAAACCTACCTACCTAGGTAGATATTAACAGGTGGTTGCCTAAAGCCTCAGAGCCTGTATACCTAAGGGCAGCTGACAGACATGACGCCGGTCCAGTTCCAGCAGGTCCGCCCTTGAAGATAGGTCGCCATCCGCAGGGCATTTGTCAGATGATTTACAAACAAGCATGCAAACACGGGGCGTTTGCTCCTACCTAGTTACGCACTGTGCCTTCTCTCTTGCATTCTCGATGCAATTAAGGATGATTCAAAAAATCAATCTCAACGTCTAGTGCATCTCGCTCGCCACAATTTTCATGCTCTAGTGGTACATATCCGTCGACTTACATGTTTGCTTTTGGTTCGTTGCAGAGTCCAACTTGGCCCAGGTATTTACCCCGCTGTACCAATTTGGTGGTTCACTCCACCTCCCCTCCCGCTACCCGCCGTCCATCCCACTTCCATGATTCCATCCACACGTAGGTACCGAGCATCCAGCCAGTCACTATGTCATGTGCAAAGTCACTGGGCCATTAATGTATGCCTATCATCTCCAGTGCAAGACCTCATCAACTTCAATCCATTTCACGGCCGCTTTCGAGGTGAGTCGGGTTGCTAGGGCAAGCAGAATCGGTACACTAAATAAGATTCGTCAACTTGTTGTTCCGCGCGGAGCGATAGCTGGTAGCAACGAAAAGAGATGGCCGATAGAAACTAGACGCAGTCGGTTCGAAATACAAAAGGGCTCTGTCAGATCAGAGTGCATGAATGTAAATGCCTTGTCCTTGCAAAGGGGTTTGAAATGCTGGCAGCCAGTCGCTCTCCGGGCCCCATCTAGAAGCCTTTGCGACTGCGGCTGTAGTTATCGTCGCCAACCTACCTAGGTTTGCTAGCTATGAATGGACATTATCAATTCGCCACTGCGCATGCAATTCAATACAATCGACAGCGCCACGAGATGACGCATGGGTGCACAGGCTGTGGTCTTCACAATTCACACGCAAAAGGACATATTGAGAGAGAGAGAAAGAGAGTCCAGCACGCTGCCTTTGGTTTGGCAGCGCGTGTTCGTTAGTCCTGAACTACCACATTATAGGCCTCTTCCTCGCCATAGTCGGTCGATGTTCTGCCAGTGTTTCATGGGCTCCGTCATGGCTGACTCTCCAGGTCCTCGATAAGTGCCGTGGTGGCCGTACCCATTATTGGGTGCCACTGTACGAAAGTCGCATACTGCACTGTACGCACTGTACGCGCCAAGGGTCATGCGATAACGCTGAGTAACATGTTATACACCTACCGAGCCTTTGAGTGGACGAAAAAGCCTCAAGATCGGGTTTTGCGTTGTATGCTCTTGAAAAGAAATCTAGCGCAGCTAATCTTCGATAGAGCTTTGATAGGTCATCGTTGCTGCTCCAAATACGCCTGTATGCCTCGACCCCTCGTCTTGCAGTCCCGTACAGTGCGTGTTGAACCCCGCGCCAGTTGCGGGGCTTCTGCGGCTGCCTGGAGTTTGGCCTTGTGACACTGTGCGTGCATCACCGTGCGTGGAGCCATCGCTGTTGGCACCTTCACTCTCGCCCCACCCGCTTCGACTTCACCATCACTTCTTCGTGACTCCTTCACTCTTACCCTTGTCCTCTGCTTCCGTCTGTTCGCTTCAAGTTTTGGCGAACGGACTTTCAGCAACTTCTTAGAGTGTTCGAGACCTCTCTGCCCCTTCAGGGACATTTTCCGCCACTGCCGTCTGCAGTACAGCCTAACCGACTTTTAATTCCGCGAATGGACGGATAGGCCTTTTACTCTACCACGTCAAACAGAAATCTTCTCCAGCCTCGTTCCTTGAACCGCCGTTAAAAATGCCTGGAACACTATATGAGGGCGAAGGTACGCTTCACGCCATCCAGGCAGCCTGAGCTGGCCTTGTGCTCTCTAACTACGACCCCCGCTTACACTGTCACAGTCATCGTCACCCTGTCGTGCTTATCCCCGACAACCTTGGTATTCCCCCAGCGCAGGCTCATCTTGTCGAATCGAAAAAATGTCATTCCCATTGGACGGGCTTCCAAGCGAAGTGCAACTCCAACTCTAGAGAGTCGAATGTATAATGCCTACATTGACGCTCCTGTCATGTCACGGAAACACGCTGAACTTAGATTAGACACCCAAGGCCAGGTACGTCTTGCTTCCTCTTGTTTTACTGCTCCTTCTCTGCCTCTTATTCTCTACTGACTCTGCATCCAAGACGGTATTTATTCGAGATCTGGAATCTTTACATGGAACCTTTCACAATGGCGTCCAGCTCCGAGCTGGCCAATCACAAGCCCTCAAAAACGGCGACATGCTGAAGTTCGGGATATGTATTGATCGTGGCCGCGAAAGATTTCCCCAGTGCGCAATGAAAGTCGGTCTAGAATTTGGCCAAGCAGAGCAGGCTCCCGTAGCGGCGAGGTAGGCATGATACCCTAAGAGGCAAAGTTGAATACTAACATGGCGTAGTTTACCGCAAGCTACTTTTCAAGTACCCGACGACACAGAATCTGAGGACTCAGAAGACATGAACGATATCGATAGTCAGGCTGCATTCAGCAGCTTGGCTGACGAGGAAGATATCCAGGCTAGTGCTTCCACGCTTACGGAGAATGGGCTAGAGCTCTCCGAGTTTCACGGCTTCGATACATCCGATCCCATAGATCTCACCTCAGAACCTGATCTGACTTCCGATGGAAACAATCCTAGTTCTAGTAGTCCTCTTTCTGATGGCTATCATCCAACTACACAAGACGCCGAGCACGACGCTGATCACGACGCTGATCACGACGCCGATTATACGCTCAGAGCGGTTGAACCTGAAGATGTGCACCTTAGTGCTCAAGATTGCCCATCAATTGCTCTGCTGAGCGATGGCTTTGCGCCAGCACAACAATTCAAAGAGAGCCTTAGCGTGGACATTGCTGCGGGCAACACTGTACCGGGAATGGACAGGCCACTCTCCGAGGAGCAGCATCTGTGTCCCAGTTCAGAGATCACGCCTCTGCTAAGAGTCCAGTCGCTTGGCGAGTCATCAGGAAAACTGGATTATTTCATCGCCAGGGAACAAAACAAACAATATATACAGAATGCGATGGTGTCAAGCGACGCGCAGGCAGAGCTCACACCACCACCGCACCAGGAGGCGCCTCGAAGTCTCAAGGATATCGAGGGTCTTTTGAAGGAAACGCGCGGTTCTAGCAACATCGACGAGTTGCACGAGGCCTCTGCCAGCAAGACTGATGAGCCGGAAGAGGTCGCTTCTATTAAAAGTGTCTCGAGGAAGCGCAAGGCCGATCAGATCGAGTCAAGCCCTCTTGAGGTCCATGTTGATAATGGCGTCATTGATGCTTCGCCTGCGGCGTCGTCTGCGGATCAATATGCTCTCCCAAGAGACGTGTTACCTAATGGCAATGGAAATCATGCCTATAAACGCGTCAAAACTGCTGCGGAATATGTTGGGCTTATGGCTATCGGAGGCGCAGCGGTGATGACTGCTCTCATCGCGACAGCACCAAACTTTTAATTGCTTAACTTGTCGTTCCTTTTTTTTCCAAGAAGAGTTGAATACTCACAGTTGATTTATGGACTTGCTCTGCTTTTTATGTTAAGATTTTGCTTTGCTGTGTTTTGCTCTGATTTGTAAAGTTATTACGCGGCGTAATCAATTTAGGATGTCGCAGGGTTAAGTGCTTATGAATGTTTATGCTTTTTAATGCTATTAGGATTTAGTCTATTTCACCGATATCCAGCTCTCTTTCTTTTCATCTTTCTCTACTATGTAAATGTCCTGGTGTTATTAGATGGACTTGTGATGGCAATGCCGGCGTTTTGCGTGCTTGATGGTTGGTAGGGCCGTCTACGATTTAGCATCTTGCGAGACCTGACAATGTCAAGCAAGGCCTTTGGAGCTACTTGGTTAATTGAGCATCGAGCTTTCAATCCGCCCAGCTGACCATTGCTCGCTCATTTTCCTTTTCGGGCCCTTTTGCGGCGTCATATTACATCACACCCCCGACTTGTGTGATTGGTATTATTCCCAGTGTAATTCTGCTCTCTTTACGGAGTACTAGCAACTTTACTCTGGCCCTTGGCGGCAGAAACAAGCTGATGAGAACGTACACAAGAGGAAAAAAAAAAAAAACGGGGGGGGGGGGGGGGGGCCGCGCGCGTGGCGCCTTTGTTCTCAACGTGTGCGCCCCGTCTCGTTTCTGCCGTTCCTGGCGACGGCCCCCACGACGAACGAATCAAGTGAAAAAAGCTATACCAATATGTGGTAGCGAAACGCCACGTGCTTTTTTCCCTTCGTATAGATGCACTGTTTTCAGATCAATATATATATATATATATATATATATATACATATCTTGTTC